AATTATTGAATAAAACTTAGTCCTTGAAAACTGTAATTTGCCCCTAAAAATCCTCGAAAAGTCCTCGAAATTTGTTTGCCTGAAGTTGCACGAACCATGGATCACCAAATGACGTAGAACAAGAGATTGAAAAGACACTGAGCAAAACAGCACTACAACACAAAAGGGAACTAGTGATGGTTTCACGTCCAACATGAGAGTTGTAGAGAGATTACCAGTAACGATTGCAGCCGTATGTTAGTATGCACTGTTTCTGCTCCAGGTTATTTTTGGCCTCCTCAAAACATTAGGTAAAAGTCGTCCAGGACTGCGCGCCCCATTTGTAGAACATTTAACTTGCATCAAATTGACAATTAAAGAAAATGACTGAAGACCAGAAGAGACCAACTTTAGGGGTCCCGTTTTGTGGATGTGTCTTTCTCGGAAAGTGGCGTTCGTCAAGCGAATCGACTGTACCTAGCGTTCTTACCTCAGGTGGCTATGTGTACGGTGTTCGCTTACAAACCAAAGTTCGAGTGAATCAGGATACTTTTTGCATGATTATGAATTAACGCTCCAACCAATTCTTATGAAATTACAACACTAGTATAATTGCAATGTTTACTAAACTTTAGTGGCATTTATAGAGGTAGGAATGGCATAATTCCAAAATTATAACGCGAATTCACTTGTGTGTTGACATCTCAAGCGTTACATTAACGGCGCTGAAATGTAAAATGTTGTGCACCGAGCAACTTACAGCCAAACTTTGTCCGGTTTTTTACTCAGTCCGACTTGCACATAAAACAAACACTTGTTTCCCATTTTTTCCAGCAGATTACGAAAATTTTAGACATGTTCTTAGCATGAAAAATGATGACTTACCGTTGTCCTTCAACATGGCGAACACAGAAACGAATGTTTGCTACAAAATCCTTTGTGCAGGATATTGTTTACTCGTTGTCATGCAAGAAAATGTCTTTTCAAGATGCACAATGACCAAAGAATATTTTTCTATAAGCCATTTACCTAATTTTTTTCTCACCGTACAAAACGAGTGTATTTTACTCTGTCTGAATGGCATGTCCAAGGCGGCCATCCCGGGAAGTAATACGGTGCACTTTTTCGGTGCACTAGTGCACCAAAGTGCACTTTTTCGGTGCACTGGTGCACCAAAGTGCACTGTCATTAGTATTTCGGTGCACTAGTGCACCGAATACTAAATAGCAAGTGCGCTATAGTGCACCTTGGTTCACCATTTCGTACAACACATTTTCGACTTGTTTACTAGAAATACGTAAATTGCAGGACCTCGCGAAGGACTTCGGGCTATATAAAGAAACATAACAAAACTGCAATAACTAAAAAGAAACCTAAACGAAAAGAAATAGAAAAAAAAGGCAAAGAAGCGAAGAGAAAAAGTTGTTCTCGGCGGATTCGAACTCGGTACCTTCGGCGCGCCGGGCCTGCTTTCGTTACCACTAGGCCACGTGGAACACACAAATGCAGATGTTGAAAATATATTATTAAACCCTTTCCCCTACAACTTCCGCCAGCGCTACCTGTATAAAGTTGATCGAGCCGTATTAAACATGAATTCAAAGATATTTTTCAGAAGAATTACTGGTGTTTCGATGGGAACCTTTCTCACAATCGACGGATCTTCAGATATCCTGCTCCACTTTTTGCAAACAAGAGAGATGGTTCTTCGAATGAGATGAAACGAAATAAAACTAAAAATGCGTAAAATCACGTCTTTGGGAAGCTGATCAGAGCTGATTAAACAACATCGTCCAAAAGTTAAAAACAAAACACGATGTGACTAGTGTTCTAGACACTGAGAATTAGTGCACCGAACTCGGTGCACTAGTGCACCGAATTCGGTGCACTTGGTGCACCGAGTTCGGTGCACTTTTCCACTAAATTCGGTGCACTAGTGCACTGAATTCGGTGCACTAGTGCACCGAATTCGGTGCACCAGTGCACCGAATTCGGTGCAGTGCACAGTGCACCGAAATGGTGCACTTGGCCTATGTAACGCTTTTGGGAAGCAACACCGTACACATAGCCAGGTTTCGTACAGAGTCTTGAATTCTTAAAAAAGTCTTGAAGTTTGTGCAGCTATTTTCCAGACCTGGAAAAAGTCTTGAAGAGATGAAATCTGGAAAAAATGATAAAAAGTCTGGAGTTTTTTTCTTTTTTTTTTTTTTCAAATCTACAACAAGTGCTTTATAAGTGAATTTTTTTTTCAAATCTTATTCAACCTCTTCCGTATGTTTGCAGCGTACCACGAAAAAAGCTTTGTTCCTGCGTTTTAGGGTCGCTATTGAACACCTGTTTGATAACCTTGTTTCTGGAGAAAGAAATTATTGTTTTGAAAAAAGTTCTGGAAAAAGTCAATTGCATTTTGAATCCAAAAATCTGTGTGAACCCTGTAACCAGCTCTTCGCCTGACATCTTTTTTTCGTTGTTTTTTTCTTTCTCAACCCACTAGTCCCTCATGCTTGCAAAGATGATGGGTATAGAGAATAAGACGTTTTGCAAGATTGTATCGTTTTTATTGCTGGTATAATATGCATCGCATTTTCCTTTCAGTTGTACCAAGAGGGCCCTGCCGAAATCGCACGAGCTGGAATGACATTTGATGAATTACAGAAACGGGCCGGTCAAGCCGAAAGAACCCGGGACGAGGCTTTGCGAAAGGTGGATGGCCTGAATTCCACGCTCAAGAAACTGGAAACAAGGTGAATATTAAACAACTATCCTCCGAAGGGGAGGTGAATAGTGGTGAGGGATATACCGAGACGCGAGGCGTCGAGGTATATATCTAGCACTGTTCACCGACCCTGAGGGGGATATTTGTTTTAGTATTTATCAACTCAGTTGGATAAAAATGAAAAAAAGTGACTTTTTGTAAATTAAAAACGTCACTTAGTTGTAACTTTATTTACAATTTACAAACATTTTGGGAGATTTTGTCAAGTGCATTTTCACATTTTTGTTGCAAATTCAGCATGACAATAATTTTCTACCTACCAGTAAACACCGACAAGCGAAAGTTCGTCGCTGTCTTGGTATTTGTTGGTACGACTACTTCAGTTATCGCCAAAATTTCGTCTTTCGAAAATGTCTTGTAAGGAGACGCCATCTTGACGCCGGTCGCAAAACAGTGAATAGCCGAGGATATTTCGAGCTACGGGAGCCAATCAAAACGTGCGAAAATTGTTGTTCACTGATTTGGTAAATAGTAAATAATGTTATTATTATACGCATTTACGTATGAATGGGCAGTCTACCTGTTATCCAATAACATGACAAAAATCCGGCCCATTGAGTGGGAAATCTTGCATATAAGATAAATTTGATTCACGTATAGAAATGAAAACTCGGTTACACCTTGTGCATAGTACAGTAAAAACCGGCGAGTAAGAACCCGCATTTTCCCTAGGTAGCCGAAAAAGGTTCTCACATGTGCTGCATATATTAAGTGGTATATAAATTAGCACAAATCTAGGCTATTAAGGTTCTTAAATAGATTCTTACTTTCTGAGGAAAAAAAATACATCGTAGCTAAGAGTTTTTAGTGGTATTCAGCTAATTCCTTGTATAAATTTTACACACCGGATTAGTATTTATTGATTGGTTCCATTGTAGTTTTCAAATGCACTAAGTGAATGAGTGATAAAAGGTAGCTCGCTAGCCTGCGTAGCAGGCGCTTGGAAGTAGTGGGCACAAGAAAAAACGGGCGCTCAAGAAGGAGACACGCGTGTCTCCCTCGCGCGCGCCAGTTCTCTCTTTCGCTCACTACTTCCAAGCGCCTGCTACGCAGGCTAGCAGCTCGCATGCATTTATACCAGTCGTTCTCTCGCTTTTTTTCGACTAGGCATGAACAAGAGAAATCACAGGGTGCCTCCGAAAGTACTGAACTAAGAAGAAGAATTAAACAACTGGAGGAAGAAAACGAAGAAATGTCAGATAATAGACTTCAATTAATAGGTATAATACTTACTAAATGAAGTCGGTTAACGTACTGTTTAACAGCTAACTTCTTGTAGATATCAGGGTTAGCAATAACGGCTCAGGGCCTGTTTACATGGAGGTGGGGGACCCCAGGTAGGTGAGGTAACCCGCTTAGGTAGAGTAACCCGCCTGTCCATATAATCTCTCATTTTAATTTGATCATGTTTACATGTTAGGTGGGCTGTCCCACCGCATGTTACCTCACCTATCTGGGTTCCCCTACCTCCATGTAAACAGGCCCTTAGACTGCGGTTTTTACGGTTGGTCAGTTCTGTGCTAACGTATTAATTAGCGCCTTTACCCATGCACAAAATGCTCCGGATCATTTTACGTTTCTGTGAAACTGCCCACCTACCCCTCCCCTAAACCAACATTAACACTTAGTTCTTACTTAGGGCAAAATGTTGTCTCTGGGGAGGGGTAGGTGGGCAGTTTCACATAAACGTAAAATGATCCGGAGCATTTTTGTGTATGCTCCTGTAGAGTGACAAAGAAGATATCAAACCAAATAGGCCATTTCCGAGTTCCCCCGGGCCTCTGTTTCAAAACGAGGGTAGGTGCTCAGCCTTTGATATGGAAATCATTTGTCATTCTCATGCAAATAAAACTCATTTTCACAAGAAAGGTTGTGCACCTAGCCTCATTTTGAAAGTGAGGGTTTTTGGAACTCGGAAGTGGCTCATTCACCAAGGAACACTAACCATAACAATGTTTTGGTGATTTTTGCAGGTATATTATTAAAACTTGAAAAATTGGCCCTATAGTTTCGAGTTTCATTTCGTCTTGCAACAGACGTCATGAAGCAGTTTCAGTGCCTGAATGCAGTCTTCAATAACAAAACTGACCATTATTTCTGGAATTTAATTGATTCAAAAACACGTTTTAGCTTGTTAGCATGATAATGTGACATAGTCCCTTTTAGCGCTTGATTAACGTTTTGAGGATTTCTAATATTATAACCTGGAACTAGGCTCCGTAGTGAGTTGAAAAGGCAAAAAACGGAGTGAAACAGCAAAAAAGGTGGACTGGGGAGGGGAAAGCGCGGTGTCACCCTTTCCCCTCTCAAGACTTACGCTCGGCTCGCTTCCCTTGCCGATTTCTTTTTCGCCCTCGCCGATTTTTGTCTCGCCTTTTTCCCCCACTGCAGAGCCTAAACCTTGTGAATTGTGTCTTAACTTGCAGATGAAATAGACAAACAAAAACGTGAAATTCTCTCCGCTAAACAAGCTAAAGAAACTGCTGAACATCATTGTGTCACAGAGGTATTTTTTGCAATCGTTTTGTGTTTTGTTTGCTCTTTCGAGTCCGTCTGTCTGTTGAGCTAGCTGGCTTTCTTCATTTCTTTTGTTACCACCCCACCAAAAGGCCGGGTTGGCTGGGTGGACTTGTTATTCCGAGGCCCTGAGTTCAAGTTCCGCCCTAACTGTAAAGTCTTTATTAGGGAGCTTTAGCATCGACGACGGCAACGGCAGCGAAAACGTCAGTTTTAAAATGAATTCCCATTTTTCCAATCTTTGTCGCGTTTATTCCAATTTGCTGAAAATTGCAAGTGCAGGCGAATTTCCCTGGAGTTGATTTCTTTAGGACCGCACTCAAGTTTAGAGAGAGAAAAAGAGATTCGTCGTCGCTTGTTTACGTCCTCCATAAAATTTGCAATTAGGCATTTTCACGTCGTAGTCGAGCAAGGACGGTGAAGAAATGTACAAAAAAGCGTGATGCACGTGCAAAGTTGTTGTTTTGCGTAATAACCCTATTGCTTTTTTGACGTCCTGGTTGCCGTCGCCGTCGTCCTTGCTAAAGCTCCCTAATGGTTTGTGCGCAACGGGTGTGTTGTAAGGTTCGAGAATATGTTCACTTATATGTATTACCATCATTTAGGTTGCATCGCTAAAGCAGCAGCACGAGTTACGTGAAAGTGAATTTGATTCACGACTCCGAAACATAGAGGAGATGAACAGGCGGGCGGTGAACGAACTCAGAGAAATGCTGACGGCGCAGCAGAAACTCGGAGCACAGTGAGTAAAAATCACATCCTGTTTTCATCTGTTGGCTATCGAAATGCTCAATAGAGGCGTCCTAAAAATTAACGTTAAAAGTAATGACGGGATTGCTTTGTGTTTGCAGCAGTGCCGCTCGATACTTTCTCGACCGATCAAGGGGAAAGACAAATTTTATTCGTGCGTGCAAAAGTTCTTTACTTTGACTGATTGGTTCATTTAAATATTTTCAATTGTGTGTGGCAAGTGATCTCGTAATTGCTTTGTTTTTCCATTGCTATAGTTTGTGATTGGCTGAAAAATCTCGTGTCACATTCTCAGCCAATCGGAAGGTAAAGCCATAACCAATCGTGACTTGCTCGCCTGTGTTTTCCCGCGCTTGTTCGCTTGGTACCTGTTACATCTAGGCTACTTAACATTTACATGGGGAAACCGGAAATTCCGGTTGGAAAACCAAAAAGTCGCTTAATCCATTATTTTAGGAAGCTTCAAGAAATTTGGCTGTGATTTCAGGTGATCCAAATCTTTCTGCCGTTTTAGTGTCTTCAACTGATTTGGATCTACTTCTTGTCGTTCTGCCACAACAAAGTTTAATTGTTAAATGTCTTTGCACTAGATTTCCAACCGGTTTCAAACCGGATTCGCGTTAGTGGTGAAAACTCGGTTCCTGAAAGGCCCGATAACGCTAATCCAGGATTTTAATCCTCAATTGTACGGCAAAGTCAAATTCAAGTGACGATTGTATTTAAAAATACTTGACAGATTAGTTTTCATCTCAATACTCTGATTGTATGTGATCGGCCTTGAATTTCGTCGCTAATAGTTCTCTAACTGGGGGCTATTGGTAGAGCTAAGATACTTTATAAGCGGTAATCTGGTCTTGTTGATTATATTTATTTGATAATTTCAAAAGGTTGACTGATTTTCTGATGAAATATTTAAGTTATTTAAACTCACGATGTTTTTAAAATAAAAAGGAAAAAAAAACCAACGACGAGGATGGGATTCGAACCCACGCGTGCAGAGCACATTGGATTAGCAGTCCAACGCCTTAACCACTCGGCCACCTCGTCTCTTACATTCCACCTGCTATCTACAGCTTATAAATTACTGGTTTAGTGACAACTGACAGTGCTTAGTAAATCCTTAAAAATTCAGTTTTTGCTTTTTTTAACTGCTGAATTTAAGCTTTTCATCCAGATATTTTGTGCGTCTTTTGCCTGTATGCTGTTTATAACAAATCTCATGTTTCTCGCAAGTTGTACCTAAATTCTCATTACCTGTCGACTTCCGCGTCCCATTTTTGGACTTTACGTGTCTTGATAAATATCATTGTGTGATGAATAAAAATAATACACTGTTAATAAAAATTAAAACAAGTTTATTATCTAACTTGTAATACAGGTGGAAAGAGGAATCCAAAGCGGTAACTCATAAGTTTGAGCAAACGGTGAACGAACTAAGGTAAGTAAATGTTTTGGGTCCGTTTACTTTTTTAAAATCTTAGGCTTTTTTTAAGACTTAGTTTTCGCAATTGCCCTTTTTCTCCCACGTATTATGAGATGCTTGCTAAGTCGATGAAAATTTCCAAGGCAACCGATCTGGTCGCACGGTTTTTTTATTTTTATTATTGAATCGCTTTCTGTCAGAACGTTGCGGAAACCTATTTTCTTAACATTTGCAGATGCAAAGATTATAAATCATTTTTGAAAAAGGAAAGGTTTAGTTCAACCCTTTACTCCAATCATTCACAGATTCAAATTCATTTTCAGGGTATTCTAAGGCTTAGATTCAACGTAAAATATTGGCCACGTGTAGAAATTAGGGTGAAATCAAATACTTCACATTTTCGTGCCTTCATATTTGAAAAAATACCATCTCCCTTAGGTTCTTAAAGCGATCTTCCTTAAGGCCCGGTTCAGGCGCCGAACTTTTCATGAGCCGAACCTAATTCAAATTAAGGCCTACCCGAATTATTTAGACCGGCTGAATTGATTCAGACACCGATCATGATATCAGCCGAACTAAATTTGAAAAAAAAACGCTCTCTTCGTTAAACATCTTGCAAAATATGTTATAATGATATATGCGCAAGGTTCTGCATATGAAAAGTTCGGTGTCTGAATCAAAGCCGTCCCAGAGTCGCTCAAAAGTTGAAATTCCCGGCTGGGATAGGGGTGAAGAACGGTTGAGCCGTTTCGAATTGAAATAGGCGTTGCTAATTTATTAAGACGCCGAACTTTTCATATTCAATCTGTTCGGTTCGGCTCGTGAAAAGTTCGACGTGTGAACTGGGCCTAAGTTTCTCCTGGTTAAATCAGCGCTGTAATCATAGGGATCTGGAGAGTTGTAAAGAAAGATCACCTTAAATGTAAACTTGTGATTTTAAATCAGCCTTATGGCTGGGCCAATACAATACATACAATACGCGCTATGGGAGAGAGTGGAGGAGGCTTGGAACCAAGCGCGATAGCGCGAGTCCTTCCAGGCGAATTCTCCTGACTAAGATTTAGTTTTGTGGACTTCTTTAGTCTGTAGTTATCAGCAACTTCGCTGTTTTTACCTTACCAGACAAGAAATTGGCAAGCAAAAACGAAGAAATGATGACCTTAACAGTCAGCTGAATGAGGAACGAATGAGGCGGCAAGAGGTACAAGTCGTGAAGTATTTTAAAATGCTTTTGTTTCATGAAATCAAGCCTTGTGAGATTCTTAATTGTGAACTAAACGACGGGAAAGTTACATGATGTCCATTGGGTTTCCTTTGTTTTTTTCGGTAGCTGTTTAATTTCAATTGCTATGTTTATAAATATAAAAACCCGCAGTTCTAAAGCCGCTAAAAGGTGTATTTGACTAAGCACTAGAGATGTCTTCACTCTGTGCTTGCATCGTTCAATTACGCGTGTCAATCATCATAGCATACGCCCAAAGAAAATACGGTTTCGCTGGCGTTTCACCAAACTCAATTAGGTTCCCTGTACATGTGCTTATGCCTTGCCTGTAAACATGGGATGCCTTCTCTCACTTGCTGCATCGCTCCTCTCAGAGTCTAGTACACCCTTTCTGTCTCCAAACAGTACAGGCTGTTCGCATAAAGAGCCTTTCAAGCACTCCTGTATTGAAGAGCCAGTCATTTTCGCTGTCGAAGTACAAGGACAGAGTTGCTGCTCGATTGCTATAGCGAATAATGAAATACTTTCTGATTTCTGGCTTGATCTCAATAGCTGGAGTCCAGGCTCTCTGCGTCTAAGGTGTCCCAAGAAAAACTTCAAAGTATGGTCGTTGACGCTGAAACCAGGGCAGATGCTGCCAGCTCTCAGGTAAGTAAATTAACTCCCAAATTTTTATCATAGACAGTTAGACGCGGTGAATGCGAAAATCCAATATCTGCCAGACGAGGGAGAACGCGTGGAAAAGCCATTAAGCTTTTAAGTAATTGTCCATTTAACATCTACTAGGCAGGCAGAGTGAAAAATCGATTAAAAGGTTTAAACTTTTAATCATTATTTTTCAATTAAATCGTGGGTTCTGATTGGACCTAAATCCAAAATCGCCGAAAAAAATTAAACAAACAAACAAAGAAAATCCAGCATATCTATGCGCCAATCAAAAGTTAGAGAGAAAAAAGTGCCGCGCGAGCGACCTTGTTGAGACGCCATCTTGGATCCTCAATTTCGAGCTGTTGAGGAGTTTTTCTTCTGCTTCTATAATCTTGTTAATTTCTTTGTAAAATCCACAAGTTTCATTTTATTTAATACAAATATATATTGTTTATGGCAAATTGAGAGTATTTATGAATTATCGTCGGAGGGATCGCCCAAATACCCTTCAGCAAGGTTTGCTACTGTCCTCAACACGACGCGTGGGGATTTGGACAAGAGGGCCCAAGGCAGTTGTTTTCGCTATCGTACCAGGAAACGTTTCACGCGATTTTCAAACTGAAGCATTGTCATTTTTAATTGCCAGGTAACAACTCTCCTAAATCGGGAGAGGCAACTTTTGCAGGAAAGAAAACTCGTTAACCGAGAGTTCGAACGACTTAAATTAGAAAAAAGTCGACCTGGATCTAACAGAATTCGGGAGCCTCCTCAGCGACTCTCTGATTTGCTGAGCACGCCAGGCGCAGGGGCAGTTATGCATGAGCCCGCAGTTCGATTGGACCTCATGTCTCCAAGAGATGATGGCGGTTATTCACGAGAACTTGACGGAATTGGTTCACGAACTATTTTCAATGGATTAGCAAGAGACCGAGTCATACTTTGACGTAATGGAACGTGTTAGCTTAACCTTCGACCTTTCTAGCCCCTTATCCAAACTTTGGACGGTGTATTGTGGTGCCAACCTTGAAACGTGTGTGTGAAAAGGCAATTCATTTATTCAAGTCATTTTGCATCAAGTACCAAATGCTTAGTCAAGATTTCGATTTTGTTATTGCTGTTTAACCCTCACTGGGATTTATTTACTTGAAAAAGAGAGGGAAAATGAACTAAATTCTGGTAGCTGTAGCAAAATGACCGCGCTCGTAAAAACTCCCTCTTGCACAGATTGGCCACACTAAGGAAAGGCACGGAGCAGTACCTTTATGTGAGCTGTTTAACATTCCTTCCTTTCTTGTGGTTCTGCCCGATGTCAGTCGAATGGACATATGGACAATGGGGACATTTTTGCCCCTCATGAAAGTAGTTATGTTTGTGTTTTTGAAGAGGAGCCACCTTAATTATGTGTGGACGGGTTGTACTGACAGCCATACAAACAACCCCTATCTGCTGATTTAGCTGGGCTCCAGTTTTTGGGCTGAAAATTTGGCGAGAAGTGAATCCTTTGTGTGCACACAGCCTGCATTACTGACAGCACAGCACAGGAAACTTTGTGTTGCCCCCTGAATGAATCCAATCATGCAATTAGGGTTTATCAAAGTCAACGTGGGGTTCACTGGCTGAATATACCTTAAAAGTGTTATAAACGGACTTAACATAAAACTCTTTTTGTAAACGAGCCCTACCATACACAATCTCTCGTTATTGATCCTTTTGTATGTGTCGACGAGCAGTTGGTGAAGTATGTGTATGTGTATACGCGTAGTTGGATAATTGGTTATTACTGCAGAAATACTTATTGAACTTTCGCTCTATTGTACGCGCGTGAACGATTTTAGTATATTCTCTTTGTAGAAGTAGTTTTTTTTATCAACCAGCGAGTGGAAAATGTTACAAAATTCTAATTTATTGTAAATAAAAGTATTTCCTTATTTATGTCCTCATTATTTTAATATTTTAACTCGTCTTTGTGACTGTTTGCTTACCAGTTCAGCTCGCGCTTTTTCCCAAATAGCTCCTGAAACGCCATCACCGATGATTACAGAAGAAACAAAAAAACAAAATGGGCACTGTCGTCAGATAACATGACTTCATTTATTGCTTCTAACAAAACGAGTAGGGGTGTTCAGTCAGTTTCAAAACACGTGGTTGGTTGAAGTAAAAAATATATATAATGTAATAATGTGTCCATTTTTACCTTTGTTCATAGCGGTTTGCGCTTGCCATCCTTCTCCCTGAGGTCATTTTCAACTCTAACCTTGTCGCCGTTAGTGCCGTTTTTCGTCCAACTTTACATTAAACAAAGGAGAAATTCTAAGTTGTTTCCGTAAAGTGAAACAAATATATTATGGTGGAAGTGCTCTTAGCTTCTTTAGTTAGTATATGACACTCTACTAAAATAATTTGCAGCAAGTAAAACAAATATGACATAACATTATTAAAAACCCAAACGGGCTGGAGGCAACCGGTTTTCTATTTAGTATTTACAATGGTATGACCGATGAGTTGAACGAGAATCACTACCAGATTAATGATTAGAGAGGGAGTCCTCTGGCGAGCTCGGGACCGCCGGTATTGCGAGCTTGACTCGCTGACCACGCGGCCACGCTTGCCCCTTAAACGTATCGTGAACAGAAAGCTTCAGTCATAACCTGCAAATGTTATAAAATGTCTTTCCGTTGTGCTTAATTTCAATTGACTACTCCAGAAAATGCCATAACATACCATAATGCTCTTTGTTTGTCACCCCAAAATTTTGCATAAGCATTGATTTCAGTTTCTCTTGAGCAAAATTTTGGGGTGACAAACAAAGAGCATTATGGTATGTTATGGTATTTTCTGGGGTGGTCAATTCCTTGTTCTTCTATCCTGTTCAGCTATCCAGTATAGAATGAACATAGCCTTAGTGAGTCTCCCCATGATGGGTAATCCGGATTCCGAAATCCGGTAGAATTATGCTTGTGGACTTCGAAATCCTGGGAATTCAGCTCAAGGAATCCGGAATCCCGACAATGATTGGAATATTCCAAGTCCCACTGACAAAGAATCCGGAATCCAGTGCCTGGAATCTTGAATTACAGATGGCCAGTTCGCACACTATACGTTTCTGGGAAACTACCCACCTACCCCTCCCCTGAGCCAACATTAACACTTACTACTCACTTAGGGCAAAATGTTGGCTTAGGGGAGGAGTAGGTTGTCAGCTTCTCAGAAACGTATAATGATCCCGACTGTCTTGGATTACCTTGCATGGGGCGAAGTGAGGACCTGCAGGCATTGAGCTGAAAAATACTCGAGTGAAATCCATTGGCTGTAATTGTTTTCAATTACTTTCTAGTTTTTGTTTTTCATGGGGCAACAGACGTTTGCTGTAGCCGTCTTTTAGGGTTAAAGCATTAGTTATTGTGGAAATCGGATAGTATGTGGTGAACGTTAATTTCTTGAAATGCTAGCGTCAGTAGAGCAAAAGTATTATATATGTTTGTTTTTTACCTTACGACAGTTTGATTTTTCGCTATCTATTGAGGGATAGTTTTGAAGGCAATCTTCAAACTTGAGTATCTGTGGTTAAAGAGCAGCTCGCACGAGAGGCATGGAAACGGGTAGGGGGAGACGGAGTAAAGGGAGAGGGGATTGGAGCGAGAGAGAGGAAAAATAGGTTCTCTTCTCCCTTAGACAAATTTACAAATCAAAAAAACCAGCTTGACCATTGGCAGAGGGGCAAATATGGCACCGGAAGTCGCGCTGAGCCTTTTACGCGCGCAATCCGGTCGTCAACTGTTTCCTGTTGCTCCATCACTCCTATATGACACTGCATCGGTGGGGAATGAGTAATACAAAAGATTAAGCCTGGGAACAATATCATGATCCTACCTTTTTAAAATCTTCTACTGGCCTACCAGAGATGAAATTACATTTACTTGTAAATCAGCGTTTACTCATTTTTATTATTTATTACCTTTTTTGCCTGCCTCGTATAGCGTTGTGCGTTAAATTGCAGACGCACTTGTAGTGTACCAAGAGAGGTTGGTTGAACAACAAACGCGGTTGTTACCTTTAAATATTTTAAGGTGCTAAAAAGCTACTACAGAGACGAATATGCATAAAATTCATTTATTAAAGAGAAGTCTTCACTTAAATGTAGTTGTTACAAGCCTGTTCTATTTATCTTTCAACAACAAGAAGAAAATGTTAGTAACACAAGAAAATGCGAGAAAAAAAGGCATTCGAGATTCCTAGAGTTGTAAATTAAGCTGTCTTACTTGCTCTCAGCAGCACGTCCAATATAATCGCGGAAATCGTGTCGGTGAATCCTTTTCATGGGAGGGAAAGGGAAAGGAAATTATGGGTAAGCGAGTTGTCACGTCAAACGATTCAACTGCCCTCACTTAAGATGAATTTTCGTTTCCTCTAGTTTTTAAACTCTTGTTTTAAACTATGAAATAACAGCTGCACCACTTTTATCTTAAATAATCTTTTTAGAATATATCAATACACCTATTTACGTTTAAAATGCATTTGTAAATGCACAGTCTTTGAACTGTTTGAATAATTACTTCACAAAGAACAGTTTCTCTTTCGAAGAGGTTCCTCTGTCCATCTTTCTCAAAATAAAATCACTGTATTTGAAATGCAGCGTGTTCCCGGCTTCAAACTTGTCAGAAGCTCTGGTTCGAGTTTTCGGTTTTGGTAATTGTGGTTCAGCCAAGGAGTCCATATCTTTACTTTTCGTTGGAGTTATCTTCTTGGTAACGTCTTCTCTAATAAATGGAAGCTTGAAGGTGTCGGTAATAAACATGTCTGCAAGTTTATCTCTTAGTTTTCGCTTTGATGGTCTAGCGTAGGGATCTGTGCAAACAAGCGGAGTGTATTTGTGCACTTCAATGTCTGGTAATTTCAAGCGAAGATTCGATTTATTATAAATGTCGTAGTTGTAAGGAACCTCATGTACTGTCTCCAAATTCTCCGCGAAGCAGACTTTGGCGGCCTTTTTGAAACTCGGTTTGTCCTTACTATTTTTTCTAAAATAGTTTGAAGTTCTGCGAGAACTGGTTTTCATAACAACGTCTCGAATCGTCCAGTTTGTTAGTGTTTGTGAGGTCATTCCGCCATTTTTGTACAACTTTGTTGTCAGTTTCTCTTAGGTAGCAACCAAATTTACAACGCAATTGTTGAAACTTCCCTTGCTTCAGTTATTCCCAATCCACGTGCTTGATAAATACTCCATTTCCTAGTCTTTCTGCTCGGCAAGTTGAAACTGAAAGAAAGTAGATTGCGGTTTCAAACGTTCATGTTTACAGAACAACCAACATAGCTGGAGGCTTTTTATCTAAGTAGAAAGTTTTCAAATTAATTGTTCCTCGCTCTATACTTACTTTGAACAATGGTGTTAAGTACAGCTCTTTTCACTTTTTCCGAAGGCTACTTGGCCTCATGGGAAACAAAAGTCAATTGTTCACTTCGAATATATTCACAAACCGCCAAAACTGTAAACAATATTCTTTTAGATGTTGTATATTCGCAAATATATCGTCAAAAAGTCAACATTAATAATCCTTCTTTAAAAGAAAATCTAATCTATTTGTCGGTGAAGTTTGTCTTGCTATGAAGGAACGCTTTGCAAGTTCGTGCAGTGTGACGAGACATTTTTATCACGATTACCTATTGCGAAAATGCAAATACACTCCACGAATGATACTTAGTTTGCCTATTATTAAGCCGCCAAAAACACGAGTTAATAGACTTCTAAAAAGGAAGCATCAAATCTCTCAAACAATAAAGTAATTAAAATGTCCTTGACTCCTATTTGTTGATTTAACCATTAGCCAAACAATCCATGGAGTTTGGATATATCATTAAATTCCAGTCGGCAAATATCAGACAGGTTCATTGTTATAAAGCCTGCGGGGTCACCAGACATGGAACACCATTTAACGTATACATCCATTAACTAATCAAAATGTTGGAACATGCATAAAACCTAAGGAAATAACAGAAAAGCAATTACCGTAGTCACAGTACACGCTGGCCGTTGAAATGGCGAACAACTGCTTTGGTTTTTTCTTCTTTTTTAAAAGCACTTTCCTAACAAGGAGGAGACATTTTGTAGGTAGTCAGTGCCTTATCGTTTCCTTGTTTCGTCGAACCATGATTCAATTCAGCCAGGTCATCAAAGTAATTCACAGGAAATTATAATTGGTGTTTGGAATTCTCTTGCACGTGGCAAAGACGGATGACGCCATTGTACACAACAATGAATTAAACTTCCTTGAGACACCGTTAACCGCACAAATTTACAAAAATTGCGAAAAACACAAAAATAGACCGTGAAGTTGGAACGAACGCTAAGGCACAGAGCTGAAACCAATCTAGAACCTCCAAATAATACTTGGAGATCAAGGTTGCTTTTGTGAGATTGATTATTGCCATCATAACTAAGGGCCGGTTTACACGGAGGTGAGGGACCCCAGGTGGATGAGGTAACCCGCTTTGGTGGGGTAACCCGCCTGTTCATATAATCTGTCATTTTAATTTGATCACGTCTACATGATAGGTACAGTTGCCCGCCACATGTTACCTCACCTATCTGGGGTCCCCCACCTCCTTGTAAACAGGCCCTTAGACCAAAAGAAAACAAGTTACAACCTTGATGGTAGTCGCATCACGTTGATGATTTGTAAAACACGATGCGGCAATTTTAATACGCAGAGAACAGTTGTATATACCGGTCATTCGGAGCATTGGACTCGTAATTAATGCATGAAAAATAAGTAATACGAATGGTCGGCAAATCCGAACGCTTTCTCAGTAAAGAGTTCCATTGTTATTGTCCTTTGGTTGACGACACGGGCCATGAAGTATTTCTTACACTTCACTGCCCCGTATGATCCTCTATGAGCCGGTACAGAGTACTATTACTTGTCATTTTCAGCACTTGTTTTATAGAGTAGTAAATTAAAAATGGTAAAGGAAATATAAATGCTGCTATAAACTCCATGTAGAAATCAGGCGCACCCAGCGACCTAATTTTGCCAAATACGTCAAAAATGTCTTATGGTTTTTTAGAAGGCTGTTTTGGGTCATTTCAAGCAAGCCTAAAAACTACTATCTGTTCGGATATCTTAGGAAAACTTTGGTCGTCGCAAAAGTTTTAGGTCGTTTATTCGTCTCATTCGATAGATGGATCCGTCGAGGACATGAAGTAGCCGATCTCTCTGTACCAAATTTTTCAGAAATTTCTTAAACAATAATCGCAGAATCTTGGTAATAGAATGTGTAAAACACAACCTCCGAAGATCGTCGGTAAGTTGAAGGAAAAACTCCGATTATATTAGGCGAATGGAACGGTTATGCAGAAATTTTTAGTCTTGCTTTAGACATTTCTAGGCAGTATTTGAACCTTCGAAGAGTTATTTTACAGAATTTTTTTACATTTGAAATATAATTGAAATTCTGAAAAATCGGCTGGTTCAATACCCAAACGGAAGCTTTGCATCGTTCAGCCTATAAGCTTTTAATAATTTAAAAACGTCATAAATTATTTAGTGCGACTTAATCCCTGTGGTCCACAATGTATTTTAATAAGTTTATTCCTCTTTTTTCGGTTGGGTGTTCCGCTTTTAGGTTTCCATTTGTGTCCACTCGTTTGGCTCCGCAAGCTACATGTGCTTCACTAATTTCACCTTTGTTTTCTGGCAGTTTGCAAGTATGGCCTGATTTAGCGCTGATGCTTATCTCCACAAGTATTTTAGTTTCGATCTTCATCTAATGAGTCATTATTTGTTTTTAAGCCTAAAGTGATCGTCTGTTACACAATTTCCAAAACTCCTCTCTTGGAATCAAGCGGGGCGCCAGCGAGATGCAAATGAAAACTGCTCGTGACTGTATACAGTCGAGCACTGAATATTTGCGTTAGATAAAGTCTTTGCCTATGGCGTTTTCTTGGCGTGTCACATGGTTTCTCCTAATTCCATTATTCTTTAAGCAAGTGACAGGTAACTGTATTTATCGTAACATTTTCTCAAACGTCAAACTTTCCATGTGCCGAACCTAGTGCATGAAAAAAATACTTTTTTTTATCGATATTGGAGTAAAACTAAGTTTGACAAAATTCATTTTATTTGACTAGACCCAATAATGAAGTTCGGGTAGTTCGTATTGCTGTATTCAGAAAGCAAAATATTATTACCAGTTATTAAATTTATAAAAAGTTCGAGTGGTCTACATGGGAAGTTCAACTGTGGAGCGACTTCGTTTCAAACGGCCAAGCATTTCCTGTTCTAAGTCTAATCGACAAAATATGTTAACTCAGTTTCAATGATTGGTTATTTCACGCAAACTCAGAAACACACAAACGCAGTACCATTGACATGTACAGCGTTTTCAAAGTGGTATTAGCAGCGTGTTTAACACAACGGAAGCAGCAACGCGAACGTCTAAAACTCAACGGGGTATACAATTTTTATGGAACATCAATATAACGAACCTCTATAAAACGAAGTCCTCGGTAGAGCTAACGATACTATTCGTCCCAGAAAGAGTTAAATCTTGAAAGTTCCCCCATTAACGCCATACGTATTATTGCTACATTTTATTATAAGTTCTGCTTTATCACTTAGCCAAAGGAAAGGGCACGTTAATGGAAAAGAACCTCGCTATTTTAGGCGATAAATGTGACATTTGTATACTCCACGAATAAGGTTTGACCGTCTTTATCAACCGCCGAACATTATTCATGATTTGGGTCGACCAAAATAGGTATCAGTTTCGGTACATCACCTCAAAGTTCGACGTTTGCAGAACCCCAAGAGTGATATCCGTTATTAACAATTTAATCACGAAACACGTGGCTTAATAAAAAAAAGATTAATTCAGAAAGATCTACGATTTAAAGTACCTATCAAAATGGCATGACACTATTTAAATGAACTTCTACTATACTAGGGTAGATTTGTTTATTAAATTTTATTGCATACATTAAACCATGAACTATACGCCAATTACAACTGAAGGCCTTTAATTAAAGCCAACTTTTAAAACAATGATTTTTTTTAAATCCTTTTTAAAGAATGAACAGGAGGGAACCATTGTGGGAAACAAGTGTGGCGCGCGATACATTGTCCCACGATTAAGCAATGTTCTCTTTTGAAATTTCGAAATGAGGGCTATTATTTCAGTTTCATCCACACACTGCATGTGCCAGCTGGGAGAAGACTTGAGGGCTTTTTGCATCCAGCCTTGTTGCAAAAGGGCTCATGAATTAAATATGACGGTCACAAAATCATCATTTTTAAATCATCTGTAAGTTTAAGTTCATGTATTTGCTTTTGCCTTACTCTAGGCGAACGTGAGTGTTACTAATGTACTCATGTGTACGGTAATTCTAGGCAATTGAAAGTCGAATGAGGCAGAAGAGACAGCAAATATATTCACTCGTTATTCTTAATTCTTTTTCCGTAAATTGTACAGCTTCAGGTGCCCAGGCAACTCAACGTAAAGAGGTTTTTGTGTCTCCTTTTGGGCGAGATGCTAACAACTGTGGCACTGAGGTTCTTCCTTGTCAGACCATCGCTCAAGCTGTCCGCCAGGTGACCTGGAGTGGAGAGATATACCTCAATGGGAGTGGTACCGAGAATTTCCCTTACAATTGCAGTCGTCCTAACGAACCTCTTGGGATTTGCATTAAGAAAAGTTTGACTATCACAGGGTTCTTGTCGCCCCACGTTTTTTGTCCCGGGGGAATTTATTTCCAAAAGAAAAATGACAAGAAGCACATTCGGGTAAAATTATCAGGGATTGTTTTTACGCAAACATCTCTTACATTTGAAGATTGCAAGTGCGTAACAGTTGTCAACTGTACGTTTGGTGGCGCTTCGGAGCTTTTGCGTGTTTATATGCAGAACATTACTACATTCCAGTTGGATATCACTGGACACTCGTTTTTTCACAACAATTCGTTATGCTTCATGCTTCTTTTTCTCCAAAATATTATAAACAAAAGCCGTTTTGTGACAGTCAATATGAGTGATACGTATTTTACAATGAATGGAGTCGATATTGAACAGCAGCGTGCTCATACAGGAGGGCTGAAGATGGTATCAAAGGAAAAGAAAGCTTCAAAAATTATAGAGTATGTGAATATCTCTTGTAACAACGTTCATTATGTCAACAACTTTGGGTCCTTTTTACACCTTGATGTTCCAAATGTGTTGGTAAAGGAGACATACGAAGATCTGAATTTCAATTCCAATAACTTACAGCCGGCAGGGAACAACCTTTACTTTTCAAATGTGAAAGAGACCAATGTAATTTTCAAAGGCTTACGATGCGAACGCAATCCGTCTTCGTGTTGTATCAGAATCCAGTCTATCAAGGCAGCGGTTGATATCCAAAGTTCTCTTTTCGACGGCATTTTTCAAGCTTTGTATCTTGAATCTAAGATTAATGCATCCCTACGAATTTTTGGTTCAGTGATTAAAAACAATAGAGCAGATGCTGGAGCTGCACTGTTTGCTACGAGCCCGAAAGGCTTTCTCAAAATCAATATTACAAATGCGCTGTTCAGTAACTGCCGAGCCAAGAAATATGGAGGCACGATATCAATAGGGCGTCGGAACAGTAGACATCAGAAAATGCAGTCAGTTCCAGATACACTAGATTTCACTCTCAGAAATGTTTCTGTGAAAGACTGGACCGGAAATGACCACAAATATTCAACTATAGATGTCCTTCTTAAAAGTGGGAAAGTAACAATAGAACAGTCCAACTTTTCTAACACAAGGTCAGCATCACCCAACGGCGCTGTTCTCGTCAATACGCTGGGGGGGAAATCTAACATCACAGTTTTAAATTGCTCGGTCATTGTTGGTGGTGTAAAAACACCAAAAGCCAAAAGTCAAGCGTTAACCTTCAAAATAGTGGCATCAAAGAGCAGTGCAGGTATTGTATCAATATCAAACAGCTTGTTCGAAAACATTGGCGAGAAACAGAAGGGCTTGTCTGTAAGTCCCAAATACCACATTAGAGTGATCAATATAACAGTTGTATCATTCTTCTATGGATTCCAGGTACTCGCAGAGTATCCCAGAAATATCATGTGTCCGATTGATATCTACATCGACAAATGCACTTTCATCAACAACATCTATGATATGCTGTTGACTCCGTATGATCCAACCTTTGTCCACGTAACAATTCAGAATTCACTTTTTACCAGTAATGAAACGCTTTTTCGAAAAAGTTATGTTATTCGCCTCAACATCCGTCTGGAAAAGATCTCTTCCACGAATGCAGTTGTAATGCTTGACAATGATACTTTCGACTCCAAACCATCGATCAATTTTGCTTTTTTCTTTAAGGGGACGAAAAATGTGACAATTAAGGGATGCACATTTCGTAACTGCATTTATGCGTTTTCACATGCACATAAGTGGCCCATTGAGGCTGGAGACTTTTATGAGACTGGTTCTGGCGCAATTTCAATCTTGACCCATCCTGATACACTGCTAAAGAATGGATGTCTTTACTTTAACACTGTTAATAACACACATCCTATCTGGGCATACGAAAGTTATGTGACATTCAAAGATACAGTATTTGAGCAAAATATGGGACTGATTGCTGGTGGAGTCCACATAAGTAACGGATTTACCACTTTCAAGAGATGTCTTTTTAAAGATAATTTTGGCATTCAACAGAGTGGCCACATTTATTCCTCATCTGGAACTGGAAGACTGGACATGGAAGATTGTTTATTCCTGAGAACAAGGAGAATGTTCAACGGTATAAACAGTTCCAGGTACGTAAAAGCAACGTTTTTGTATTCTGAGAGTGGAGGACCTTTAAATCTTAAGAACACTTCTTTGATATCAGTGTTCCCTGCACGAAATGACTTTCGAATGTTTGACATTTCCAGTGGAGGATACGTTCATATGGATGATAAATCCACCATGCAGTGCAACGAAGGAAGTAAGCTCGTATTGGAAAACGCTACACATCTTGAATATACAAAGGAAAATGGCGAATCATGCAGAAAAAACGTAACCGTCATAAAGTACTCTTGTCTTTCATGTCCCGTGGGTAATTATAGCCTCCAAAAAGGAACATCGCGAGGTTTATTTGTCAACAATACCATTCGTTGTCTTCGATGTCCATTCGGTGCTAGATGCATTGAAAGAAATATAGCTGCAAAGCCAAATTTCTGGGGTTACCAAACAACTAAAGGGCACCAACAGCAACTGAAATTTTCTGCCTGCCCGGAACACTACTGTCAAAGTCCGACAGACGTTTCAAATGATTTTAACCGTTGCCGTGGGAATAGAAATGGTACTCTCTGTGGAAAATGCGCAGAGGGGTTCACAGAATCTCTATTTTCAACGGAATGCTCTGAAGCTACAAAATGCGGAAAATCCTGGATTTGGGGCGTGACAATACTTTTAACACTTGGATTGGTACTTTATCTTTTGATAAAACCGCCAATACTTGGCTTCCTTTGCTGCCAGATCCTTTGGTTCAGAAGAGATGGCCATCAAATAGGTCAAAATGAAGCCTCAGACAGTGGGTTTATCAAAATAACATTTTATTTCTACCAAGTTGCGGAGATTTTGATGGACACGTCCATAGAAAATCGGCTAAAAATTATACCTTTTCTTGCCTTTGTGATCTCTGCGCTTAATTTTCAAGTTACAACGGTAAACAACAAAATTGGTTGTCCTTTTTCAGGTCTTACAGCAGTAACTAAGGAGCTTTTTCTATCTGGAACAGTGTTTTTGGCAGTGGCGAACGTCTTCATCGTGTATATTTTGCATTTGTTCATTAACATTTTGCGACAGAAGGAAAAGCCAAGACTTATACACTATGCAGCCGTTTTCATGGAAGTATTATTGCTTGGATATGAACGGTTGGCGGAAACGTCTCTGAACCTAATGCATTGTGTCTCCATAGGATCCAGAAAATGGCTCTTTATCGACGGAAATATCCCATGTTTGCAGTGGTGGCAGTATATCCTACTGGCTTACATTGCCGTGTTTGTGATGCCCTTTACCTTTGTACTTTACTGGGGTTCTTCAAAACTTAGCAAATCTTCTATTACAGCAAATGAATTTCTCGGGGCTTGCGTGCTCCCATTTCCTTTTCTGATCTACTGGATTTGCAAGACAATTTGGAATAGGAAAAAGGAAAACGTGTCTGCAAGTAATCAGGAAGTCAACAGAGATGTTTTAGAAATACTCCATGGGCCCTTTCGCAAAGGGACGCTCTACTGGGAAAGTGTTTTGATTGGGCGAAGGTTTATTCTTCTTTCTTTCCATACGTTTATTACGGACAGAATGTTACGTGGGGTTTGCATGACAAGCGCATGTTTCTTGATGACAATTCATCACGTTTTGAACAACCCTTACAAAAATCCATTGGCGAATAAATCAGAAACACTCTCGCTTGTTGTTTTGACCCTGATGGCTACAATAAATTTGCCAAAAGCAATCTTCTTCTCATTTGGCGTAGAAATGAGCATTGATGCCTCGAACGTAACTAATATGGAAATGCTTAAGTGGATTGAGGTTGGCGCATTGGTCTTTATTCCAGCTTTTTTAACCCTGCTGGTGACGTTCGCGTTGTTGTCCCAACTGGCAAGATTTGGACTGTTTGTCTTCAAATATATTCGACGCTTATGTCTTTATCGCCTCTCTAATCGGATGACAGAAGCGTACAGCCCCCTTATAGGTACAGAGGAAAGTTAAGTTGTTAATAAAAAATATACTTCTTTCCAGCAAATATAGATTATAGTCCATAAGTTTAAAACACAATTCATGCTTGTAGAGCCAAATGAGATGCATTGACATGTTTTGATCGTTGTATGGCGAATCAGCATTAATACATTCGCGTAAGAACAACTGTTTTTGTTCCAATATCGTATTAAAAAATTCAGTAAGGGTAGCTCTAGGGCGTACAAGGGGAGTAGAAGTTAGAAGCGGTAAGAACCAATGATTTCCTCTTTGTTTAAACGATTTTGCATCAGATCCTCTTCTTCTCAGAAGCTCTCATTTTTCTAAAAGATCTGTAGACATGTTTTGACTAAATTTCGTAGATCAGAGGTTGCAACATGTACGTGATAGGTCAATGAACTCAATTTTCTTTCGGGGAAAGAAGATTTCGCCTGATGAAAATCGCGTCGAAACGTCACGATCAATATTTTATTTGACAATCGTGGGACAAACGATAACGAAAACTTTTATAAATGATTTATTTTTATACACATTTATACCGAAAAATTGTTTAAAACAGTACTGAAACCTGCTAATTTGCTTGCACGTCTGGAGGTAAGGCATGCTTCAAATATCGGGCTTGACGGAAAATCTATCCGTTTTACTCATTTCCATTTAGATTTGGCTAATGCGAAGTACGACATTTCAAGCCGTCCTTACAATACTAACTAACTGTAATACGATAATTCACATTATTTTTTGTCAAGGTACTTTAAACTAATCACTAATTCTTTTTCGCAATATTTTGTCAAAGGAATATTTTAAAACTGAAAATTGCTTGAAGAATAGTAAATAAAATTTTAGAAAAATATCTGTCATTCCAATAACTGGCGTTAAGAAGCGTAGAAGAAGGGTTTCAGTTTGGGTAAGTCATCGTTTGATTTTGTTCTAAATGGAAATCTGGGTTTTACGAAAACCGAAGAGTGACTTCAAATTAACTTCAGAATTACGTCTTTGTTCGTAGGCTTCAATCAGGTGTAAGATGGAAGAAACGTCCTGTAAACTAATATATATTTTTTTTGTCCAGGAACATCATTATAGAAATTCTACTAATCCTACACCAACCGTTTCAATTAAAATGTGCAGTCCAACATGTATTGAGGTTTCACTTTCTTGGGAAACTTCCTTACTGCTTAAATGTACCTGTTTAACCAGCCTTATAAATCATGAAACGAGATGATGGTGTTGTGGCAGAAGAATCCATCTGAATAAAGTAGAAATACGTGTATGGCAGAACTTCGTGAAACTCAGGGCCATACAATGTCAGGGATGGAAGGGGGGAGAGAAATGGCCTGAATGTATAAAGTGTTCTCAATCACGTGGCCAGCAGCTAGCCATCAACGCTAAATTAGGCAATAAGAAACTGCTGCCCATCGTCCAAAAAGTATTTCAGTTTCGATCTTTATGTAATTAACTTCAGGATACGATTTTTTACTGGTTAAAAACAGAAACATTACTATACAAGTCTTTCGTTTTTAACCATTAAGTATTTGTGCCTTTTAATTTTTCTTCATTTGGAAGAAACGCAAAGTTTTCATTCACAACGTCTTGTCAATGAAAACTGGGGCTATAACCATCTTGCTATTACTCGTCACTGTACAGTTTCTCAGTTCAGCTGGCTTATGGCGTTTTCATGGTGCTTTACGTTGTTTATTGTAGTTTCGTTGTTCATCGTGAAAATCACAGGTAATTTAATATTCTATAACAAACTCTCCAATTGTTGATTTATTCAGTCTGTATTTAAGACTTGACATGCCCTTTGGAGTAAGTTAAAAAAGGCTAATTATTTAGATAAATGATTATTTAGTTAAATAATCATAATGGACAACTTGCAACTTAAATCTTAACAAACATTAATAATATGTGGCCCAAGACCAAGTGCCTTCTATTTGGCTAAAGCGTTCCTTACTCATTAATTCTAATCACTCAAATATTCAACATTTTCAACTTCCCAAAATTTGTCCCTTGAAAATGGAAAGTCTCTGGCATCAAAAGTAGGAAATTCATGAAAGCATTGCAGAAATGTATGCGAAACCTTTGCACAAGCCTTTGAAGGGCGGCCTTAAGTTCGAAATATTTTAGCTAGAGAGCGTTACATGATATACAAATTAGGACATGTTGTACACCACGGCAAACAACATGTTCATGATATTCATCACAAACTCATTCACGAACCATCTGTTTTAACCAAAAAAAATGAAATAAGAAATATTTGAACGAATTCTCATTACCATAGAAAATGAAACAGTTATAACGCGTTATCTTTAACTTCCACGTTTATAAAGACGCAGAGGAGATGACGCTTTTGTACAGTTTGCTTTTGTTTCCCCCATAAAATGCTCCATGTTTCCCACTACTGAAATGTTTGGTCGCCCCCATAAAGTCATTAAAATGCTTGGATTATGCTCATCATAAGGATAATAAAAATGTACTATAAGTGGTTTGGTCTGATAACAATATTTATAAGTGAATAATACAGCAAAATGAATGAATTGTTTTAAGGCGGAATTTGGATTGTTTTATTTTTGCGGGTTTAAGTCGTCGTTTTCTCTTTTAAAAAATGTTTCTCAATTATACACAATCCGTATTTAATTTTGAGCGCGATTAGATGTATCGCAGTAGGAAAACTGTATCATAGTTTTCCCAGCCAATGCAAACTAGAAGATACAAATTTGAAAACCTTGAATATTTTAGAAACTGAAAAACGACTGAATCGTCCCCAGTAGTCTTCGTGTAACGACGAGGTTGTGAGTGAGGACTCTTGCCCAGTGCATTTTCGAATGGTGGAAGCCTGATTATTTCCTTGTGCCAGGCTCCAAGGCACTTACTTGTTTTTCTTCAAAACATAGTTAATTAAAGTAAAATGGTTAGAAAACCCTTTGTAATCGGTTTTTGTTACCTTTTTGGACCTGACCGTGCACAACGTTCGATAGCATTCCCATCATTTTGAAGTTATTGACCAATAGAAACATTGCATTAACTTATTCAGTCACAATTTGTGAACAAAAAACAAAGGATTGCGCACGGTCAGGGAGCTCCTGACATAAACTACAGCACTATTGTTTTCAACTTTGATGTTTGCCGGCTTTCCTAACTAGTCTCCTCTACTACCTATGTTCAAAAGTAGAATAAAAACTCTGCAGGGACGTTTATTTTTTATTAAAGAAAACGGTGTCATTTAAGTCCGGCAGAAATAGAATCATAACTCCTTCAGGTAACCACAATCTTTTGGTTTCATCACTATGTGACACCGACAAACTCATTACGACATTTTAAGGGCATGAAAACAAAGAAAACTGAAAGCCCATAAAAGTTAACTTTAAAGACAATATTTATCTATGTGTTTTAAATTCCAAGAGGAAAATACAATGTCAAGTACATAATGGGATACTTTACGTTCTGTGGAAATTCCGGAAAAAGCCGCAAACTTCTGCTCCATAGGTTATTATTTCGGCGCCCTTATTGGCATTGCCGTTTTCGAAAAATATTTGGGTTACAATCTTTGCAGCAGATCTTCAGCATTCAAAATGGTCGCCGTAAAGCAGAACACACGTCTTTATAGTTCAGTTTATCTTTATTCCTTTTACAATTCTTTGCGAATGGAGGGCTACCAGTGTACAGCGTCTACTGTCCTTTTTTGCGAAATAGAGGTTTTAAGGGCGAAGGAGTCCCCATTAACAAGAAGGAAAACGGGTGTGATAAGTGAATGAGGCGAGAGAGAAAATATCATTTTAACTGATTTTTTTTAATATTCTTTTTCTCTAAACTGCAAAAATTCAGCTGCCCAGGAATTTCACTATGAAAGGGTTTATGTGTCTCCCTTTGGAAGTGATGCTAACAACTGTGGCGCAAAGGTTCATCCTTGTCAGACCATCGCTCAAGCTGTCCGCCTGGTGAACTGGGGTGGAGAGATTTACCTCAACGGGAGTGGTACAGAGAATTTGCCCTACAATTGCAGTCGTTCTAACGAACATCTTGGTATTTGCATTAACAAAAGTTTGACTATAATAGGGCTGTTATCACCACGCGTTTCCTGTAGCAGAGGATTTTATTTCAGAAACGAAAATGACGAACGGCAGTTACGGGTGAAACTGGTAGGGGTCGTTTTCAGGCGAACATCTTTGACATTTGAGGACTGTCGACGCGCAACAATTGTCAATTGCACGTTCAGTTTTTCTCCAGAAGTTTTGAGCGTTTTTTTACAGAACGTTACAACATTCCAGTTGGATATCACAGGATACTCATTATTTCACAACAATTCGCTATGCCTCATGTTTCGTTTTCTAGAAAATGTCGGGAACATCAGTCGTTTCGTGACAGTCAACCTAACAGATTCGTATTTCACAAAGAATGGATTTCTGAGCCACGGTAAACTACGGCGCACTTACAGGGGAGGCATAAAGATGGTATCGGAGGAAAAGAGGGCTTCAAAATTAGAGTATATAAATATCTTTTGTAACAACGTGAATTATGCTGGTAACTTTGGATCTTTTTTAGACCTTTCGGTGCCAAACGCACAGACCAAAGAGTCACATAAAGATGTGAATTTAGCCTTCAACAAGGCACCTTCAGAGGTCCCCCTATACTTTTCAAAAGCGAAAGAAACCTGTGCAATATTTAAAGGTTTGCGATGCGTTAGCAATCCGACTTCAGGGTGTATTAGAATACACTCCGACCAGGCAGAAGTTGACGTCCACGGTTCTTTTTTCTCCCACATTTCTCAAGGTCTGCATCTTGATTCTAAAATCAGCGCAAAAGTTCGAATTTTTAGTTCAGAGTTTGCAAAAAATAATGCTGGTTTTGGTGGTTCATTTTTTGCTACAAGCCCTCGAGGATTTCTCAAAATCAGCATTATCAATGTGGTATTCAGTAAAAGCCAGGCGAAAAAGTATGGGTGTGCAATAGCAATAGGAAAACCAGAAGAAATCGTCGGAAGAAAACGCAATGAGTCGATTCCAGATGAATTGCATTTCACTCTCAGAAATGTGACAATTGAACAGTGGTCCGGAAAGGGCTCCAAATGTGCAGCTATAAATGTTCTTCTTAAAAGTGGACACGTAACAATGGAAGAGTCACGATTTTATAAGAAAAGACAAACATCAGTGATGGGTCCTTTGATTTTGAAGACACTCGGAGGGAAATCTAACGTGACAATTTCCAACTGCTCATTTGTAGACAAATCTGTGGATAAAAGAAGGGCGATAGCCTTTAAAATAGTGGCATCAAATGGAAACGCAGGTATCGTAACAATATCAAACAGCGTTTTCATAAGCAGCGGGAAGAAACAGAAGGCCTTGTTTTTAAGTCCCAAGTACCGTATTAAAGTGATCAATATAACGGTGATATCATTTCGGTATGGAATCCAGGTACTATCTTCGTCACCCAAAAATAGTACGTTTCCGATTGATGTCTGCTTCGATAGATGCACTTTTACGAATAACATCTATGATCTGATGTTAACTTTGTTTGATCCAACCTCGGTCCAATTAACCATTCAGAACACAATTTTTACTAGTAATGAAAACCTTTCTCAGAAAGGTTATGCTATTCGCCTCAATATCCCACCTCTGAAAAATATCAGCTTTTCAAATGCAGTTGTAAAGCTTGACAATGACACCTTTGACTCTAAACCGTCCAGCAACATCGCTCTTTTCTTTAAAGGAAGAAAAGTTGTGGAAATAAAGCGTTGCACATTTCGTAATTGCACTTATACACACTCAGCTGTACAGAGGTGGGATATGACACAAACTCGCGAGTTTTACGAGACAGGTTCTGGCGCTATTTCCATATTAACTTATCCCGATAAAATTGTAAATAATGGATGTCTTCATTGGCCCACTACTCGTGATACACATCCTGTGTGGCAATACGAAAGTTACGTACTCTTTGAAGATTCTGTCTTTGAGGAAAACCTGGGACTGATTGCTGGAGGAGTCCACGTAAGTAATGGATTCACTAAGTTCAAACGATGTGTTTTTAAAGATAATTTTGGTATTCAGCAGAGTGGACACATCTATTCCGCGCATGGAACTGGTCAAGTGGAGTTGGAAGATTGTTTGTTCTCAAGGACGAAGGAAAGAATGTTCGGATGTAACAGTTTTAGCTACGGAAAAGCTATTTTCTTACATTCTGAAAGTGGAGGGCCTTTAAATCTTAGAAACACATCTTTCATTTCAGAAATCCCTGCACGGAAAGAATTTTCGATGCTTCACATTTCTAGTGGGGGATACGTCCACATGGATAATAAATCCACCATGCAATGCAGCGAAGGAAGTCAGCTCTTACTGGAAAATGCTACTCATATTGTATATACTGATGTAAACGGCGTATCTTGCATAATAAACGTCACAACTCTAAGGTATTCTTGTCATCCATGTTGCCCAGGTTATTATAGCCTCCAAAAGGGAACTTCACGAGGTTTATTTGTTAATTCTACCGTTCGTTGTCTTCGATGTCCCTTCGGTGCTAGTTGCATTCAAAGAAATGTAGCTGCAAAACCAGACTTCTGGGGTTTCCGACATCAACAACGATTGCAATTTTTGGCTTGTCCGGAACATTACTGTAAAAAGCCACGGAGAGATTCAAAGGATTTTAACGGTTGCAATGGAAACAGAAGCGGTGCACTCTGTGGTAAGTGCGCCAAGGGATTCACAGAATCACTATTTTCAACTGAATGCTCTAAAGCTCCAAAATGCGGGCAGTTTTGTCTATGGGTCGTGACAATACTGGTAACACTTGCATTGGTGCTTTACCTTCTGATAAAACCACCTACTCTAAGTTTCCTTGGCCGCCAGATCCCTTGGTGTAGAAGAGACCATCATCAAACTAGACAACACGACGACTCAGACAGCAGTTTCATCAAAATAACATTCTATTTCTATCAAGTTATGGAGCTTTTGATGGACACACCCATAGAAGGCCGGCTTAAAATAATACCGTTTCTTGCCTTCGTGATTTCCGTCTTCAATTTTCAAGTTGCAGCCATCAACAACAACATCGGCTGTCCTTTTGCAGGTCTTACAGCGGTAACAAAGGAGGTTCTTTTATCTGGAACTGTGTTCATGGCAATGGCGAACGTCTTCATCTTGTATTTTGTGCATTTTTTTATTAACCTATTGAGGCAAAAGGAAAAGCCAAGACGTTTACACTACGCGGCCGTTTTCATAGAGGTACTATTGCTTGGGTATGAGCGGCTCGCAGAAATGTCCCTGAAACTGATGCACTGTGTCTCTATAGGATCTAGAAAATGGCTCTTTATCGACGGAAATGTTCCATGTTTGCAGTGGTGGCAATATATCGTGTTGGCTTACGTTGCTGCGTTTATATTGCCCTTTATCCTGATACTTTACTGGGGTTCTTCAAAGCTCTACACATCGTCCATTAAGGCAAGTGAATTTCTCGCAGCTTGTGTCCTTCCACTGCCTTTTCTGATCTACTGGCTTTACCAGAGCATTTGGAATAAAGGAGAACGACACGTGCCCGGAAGTGATCAGGATGTCAACAAAGATGTTTTGGAAATAATCCATGGGCCATTTCGCCCTCCAGACACTGACAACAAAGGGGCCCTCTACTGGGAAAGTGTTTTGATTGCGCGAAGGCTTATTCTTCTTGTAATCCATACCTTTATCACAGATGCATTGTTACGTGGGGTTTGCATCTCAGGCGCTTGTTTCCTGATAACAATTCACCACGTTTTGAAGAACCCTTACAAAGATCAGTTGGCTAATAAATCAGAAACTTTGTCTCTCGTTGTTTTGACCCTGATTGCTGTAATCAATCTGCCAAAAGCAACCCTCTTTTCATTCGGTGTAGACATGAGCCCCGATGCGTCAAACGGAGTTTATTTGGAAATGGTCAAGTGGTTTGAGGTTGCCGCTTTAGCATTTATTCCAGCGTTAGTATTCCTGTTGGTCTCATTTGCACTGCTATCCCAGCTGGCAAGATTTGGAGTGTTTTTATTGAAGTATATTCGGCTTCTTTGTCAATATCGTCCCTCTGACTTGATGACAGAAGCACACAGCCCCCTTATATAGCTACAGAGTATAGTTAGCAAAAAGAATTGTTACGTTTTAAGAAAAAAACTTTGACAGATATATCCACACAGCTCCTTTAGAAGTCTGGATTGAAACGCAGACTATGTTTTATAGAACCAAATGAAATGCATTGACATGTTTTGATCTTTCCAAGACCAAAACTAGAGACAAATTATCGATTTTCCTTTCATGACTTTTAACAAACGTCAGTATATTGAATTTATCTTTGTTTAAACATGGCAATAGCTTGTCAGCTTATAACTATAATATACCAGGCAATAAAAAAGAATACAATATATCATAACATTATTTTTTTACTAAAATATGCAGTTTTAATTATAAGCCTTTTAGTCTGAGAAAATAGCCGACATTTGGCGAAGCTACCATTGGTTTTCCAGCCAATTGACGTCTGAGAAACGAGCGCAGAAATTCTATACTGATGACGCGTCTCTACCCAGATATGGGTAGTGCTTCTGATTGGTCGTGCCGCGTGGCAAATTTGATTCAACCAATCAGAAGCACTACCCAGATCTGGGTAGTGACGCGTCATCAGTATGGAATTTCTGCGCTCGTTTCTCAGACGTCATTTGGCGGGAAAATCAGTTGTAGCTTCGCCAAACGTCGGCTGTTTTCTAAGCCTATAAGCCTTTAGCAAAATTCAGCTAGTGGTCTGTTATCAATGCTGCGTTCTGATTGGTTGAGCTACAACTAGGCTATATGTTATAGCCCACTAGTAGCGAAAAGCGCCGTCTTTGAAAACCAAAACAATGGGGGCTGAATCGCGTTTTTCTAGCTATAGTTGTTTTGTCTCGATATTTTTGACCAACTAGTTGGATTTTACTAAAACAATTATTTCTCTGGCCCTCATGGCCTCTGAGTCAATAGCCCATGAGGCCGAATTGACTCAGAGCCCATTCGGGCTTGAGGAATAATTATTAATCATTATGGAGATATTTTTACTTAAATTAAATTACTCCTTCTTTTAGATTTTAGGTCGCATTGTATTTTCAAAAATAATATACTGTCAAATGGTTTAGGCAAATTTTTGCGTCATTTTATGTTATGCATATATTCAACGGTTTTTTTTTTTTGTATAATTGTGTCCTTATCATTTTTTACAAAAACTGTAAGGGTACAGTGACCTCGGACGTGCAAGGAGAGTAGAATTTGGAAGCGACAACAACCATAGGCCTTTTTCCTATACGAACTCTTTTGCTCCAGAGCTTCTTCGTCTCTGTAAATATTGTTTTTTAGTCACGTTTTTAATAGATTTTCGTGACAGAGGTTGCTATGGCTATGAGATATGCCAAAAGTAAGTGAAGTCCTCCTTTTTTTAGCAATAAATGAGTTATTTTCACAATTTCAGTGCAAAGTGACAAAAGCTGCCAGTTTGCTTTCATGTCTTGGATGTCCGAGGATTACAGTGCTAACCAATCTCATTATTGTGATCAATATAACGGTGATATCATTTCGGTATGGAATCCAGGTACTATCTTCGTCACCCAAAAATAGTACGTTTCCGATTGATGTCTGCTTCGATAGATGTACTTTTACGAATAACATCTATGATCTGATGTTAACTTTGTTTGATCCAACCTCGGTCCAATTAACCATTCAGAACACAATTTTTACTAGTAATGAAAACCTTTCTCAGAAAGGTTATGCTATTCGCCTCAATATCCCACCTCTGAAAAATATTAGCTTTTCAAAAGCAGTTGTAAAGCTTGACAATGACACCTTTGACTCTAAACCGTCCAGCAACATCGCTCTTTTCTTTAAAGGAAGAAAAGTTGTGGAAATAAAGCGTTGCACATTTCGTAATTGCACTTATACACACTCAGATGTACAGAGGTGGGATATGACACAAACTCGCGAGTTTTACGAAACAGGTTCTGGCGCTATTTCCATATTAACTTATCCCGATAAAATTGTAAATAATGGATGTCTTCATTGGCCCACTACTCGTGATACACATCCTGTGTGGCAATACGAAAGTTACGTACTCTTTGAAGATTCTGTCTTTGAGGAAAACTTGGGACTGATTGCTGGAGGAGTCCACGTAAGTAATGGATTTACTAAGTTCAAACGATGTGTTTTTAAAGATAATTTTGGTATTCAGCAGAGTGGACACATCTATTCCGCGCATGGAACTGGTCAAGTGGAGTTGGAAGATTGTTTGTTCTCAAGGACGAAGGAAAGAATGTTCGGATGTAACAGTTTTAGCTACGGAAAAGCTATTTTCTTACATTCTGAAAGTGGAGGGCCTTTAAATCTTAGAAACACATCTTTAATTTCAGAAATCCCTGCACGGAAAGAATTTTCGATGCTTCACATTTCTAGTGGCGGATACGTCCACATGGATAATAAATCCACCATGCAATGCAGTGAAGGAAGTCAGCTATTACTGGAAAATGCTACTCATATTGTATATACTGATGTAAACGGCGTATCTTGCATAATAAACGTCACAACTCTAAGGTATTCTTGTCATCCATGTTGCCCAGGTTATTATAGCCTCCAAAAGGGAACTTCACGAGGTTTATTTGTTAATTCTACCGTTCGTTGTCTTCGATGTCCCTTCGGTGCTAGTTGCATTCAAAGAAATGTAGCTGCAAAACCAGACTTCTGGGGTTTCCGACATCAACAACGATTGCAATTTTTGGCTTGTCCGGAACATTACTGTAAAAAGCCACGGAGAGATTCAAAAGATTTTAACGGTTGCAATGGAAACAGAAGCGGTGCAGTCTGTGGTAAGTGCGCCAAGGGATTCACAGAATCACTATTTTCAACTGAATGCTCTAAAGCTCTAAAATGCGGACAGTTTTGTCTATGGGTCGTGACAATACTGGTAACACTTGCATTGGTGCTTTACCTTCTGATAAAACCACCTATTCTAAGTTTCCTTGGCCGCCAGATCCCTTGTTGTAGAAGAGACCATCATCAAACTAGACAACATGAAGACTCAGACAGCAGTTTCATCAAAATAACATTCTATTTCTATCAAGTTATGGAGCTTTTGATGGACACACCCATAGAAGGCCGGCTTAAAATAATACCGTTTCTTGCCTTCGTGATTTCCGTCTTCAATTTTCAAGTTGCAGCCATCAACAACAACATCGGCTGTCCTTTTGCAGGTCTTACAGCGGTAACAAAGGAGGTTCTTTTATCTGGAACTGTGTTCATGGCAATGGCGAACGTCTTCATCTTGTATTTTGTGCATTTTTTTATTAACCTATTGAGGCAAAAGGAAAAGCCAAGACGTTTACACTACGCGGCCGTTTTCATAGAGGTACTATTGCTTGGGTATGAGCGGCTCGCAGAAATGTCCCTGAAACTGATGCACTGTGTCTCTATAGGATCTAGAAAATGGCTCTTTATCGACGGAAATGTTCCATGTTTGCAGTGGTGGCAATATATTCTGTTGGCTTACATTGCTGTGTTCATATTGCCCTTTATCCTGATACTTTACTGGGGTTCTTCAAAGCTCTACACATCGTCCATTAAGGCAAGTGAATTTCTCGCAGCTTGTGTCCTTCCACTGCCTTTTCTGGTCTACTGGCTTTACCAGAGCATTTGGAATAAAGGAGAACGACACGTGCCCGGGAGTGATCAGGATGTCAACAAAGATGTTTTGGAAATAATCCATGGGCCATTTCGCCCTCCAGACACTGACAACAAAGGGGCCCTCTACTGGGAAAGTGTTTTGATTGCGCGAAGGCTTATTCTTCTTGTAATCCATACCTTTATCACAGATGCATTGTTACGTGGGGTTTGCATCTCAGGCGCTTGTTTCCTGATAACAATTCACCACATTTTGAAGAACCCTTACAAAGATCAGTTGGCTAATAAATCAGAAACTTTGTCCCTCGTTGTTTTGACCCTGATTGCTGTAATCAATCTGCCAAAAGCAACCCTCTTTTCATTCGGTGTAGACATGAGCCCCGATGCGTCAAACGGAGTTTATTTGGAAATGATCAAGTGGTTTGAGGTTGCCGCTTTAGCATTTATTCCAGCGTTAGTATTCCTGTTGGTCTCATTTGCACTGTTATCCCAGCTGACAAGATTTGGAGTGTTTTTATTGAAGTATATTCGACTTCTTTGTCAATATCGTCCCTCTGAGTTGATGACAGAAGCACACAGCCCCCTTATATAGCTACAGAGTATAATTAGCAAAAAGAATTGTTACGTTTTAAGAAAAAAACTTTGACAGATATATCCACACAGCTCCTTTAGAAGTCTGGATTGAAACGCAGACTATGTTTTATAGAACCAAATGAAATGCATTGACATGTTTTGATCTTTCCAAGACCAAAACTAGAGGCAATTTATCGATTTTCCTTTCATGACTTTCAACAAACGTCAGTATATTGAATTTATCTTTGTTTAAACATGGAAATAGCTTGTCAGCTTATAACTATAATATACCAGGCAATAAAAAAGAATACAATATATCATACCATTATTTTTTTACTAAAATATGTAGTTCTAATTATAAGCCTTTTAGTCTGAGAAAACAGCCGACATTTGGCGAAGCTACCACTGGTTTTCCCGCCAAATGACGTCTGAGAAACGAGCGCAGAAATTCTATACTGATGACGCGTCTCTACCCAGATCTGGGTAATGACGCGTCATCAGTATGGAATTTCTGCGCTCGTTTCTCAGACGTCATTTTGCGGGAAAATGAGTTGTAGCTTCGCCAAACGTCGGCTGTTTTCTAAGGCTATAAGTCCTTAGTAAAATTCAGCTAGTGGTCTGTTATCAATGCTGCGTTCTGATTGGTTGAGCTACAGCTAGGCTATATGTTATAGCCTACTAGTAGCGAAAAGCGCCGTCTTTGAAAACCAAAACAATGGGGGCTGAATCGCGTTTTTCTAGCTATAGTTGTTTTGTCTCGATATTTTTGACCAACTAGTTGGATTTTACTAAAACAATTATTTCTCTGGCCCTCATGGCCTCTGAGTCAATAGCCCATGAGGCCGAATTGACTCAGAGCCCATTCGGGCTTGAGGAATAATTATTAATCATTATGGAGATATTTTTACTTAAATTAAATTACTCCTTCTTTTAGATTTTAGGTCGCATTGTATTTTCAAAATAATATACTGTCAAATGGTTTTGGCAAATTTTTGCGTCATTTTATCTTATGCATATATTCAACTTTTTTTTTTTGTATTATTGTGTCCTTATCATTTTTTACAAAAACTGTAAGGGTACAGTGACCTCGGACGTGCAAGGAGAGTAGAATTTGGAAGCGACAACAACCATAGGCCTTTTTCCTATACGAACTGTTTTGCTCCAGAGCTTCTTCGTCTCTGTAAATATTGTTTTTTAGTCACGTTTTTAATAGATTTTCGTGACAGAGATTGCTATGGCTACGAGATATGTCAAAAGTAAGTAGAGTCCTCCTTTTTTTTTAGTAATAAATGAGTTATTTTCACAATTTCAGTGCAAAGTGACAAAAGCTGCCAATTTGCTTTCATGTCTTGGATGTCCGAGGATTACAGTGCTAACCAATCTCATTATTTTTGTCAAAGTACTTTGAGATCCATGAATTATAATTAAACTTTCGTTTTGTCAATATTTTTTCTAACTAGTTATTAAAAGAAATAGATAAGAAACTGCCTGAGAAGAGTGCTAAATAAAACTTGAAGCATCAAAAATCTGCCTTTGATCTCAGTTTAGGAAACGGTTTCCATTGGGAACTCTTTAAACGATTGGATTTTCAGTTTGAAAAAAATTGTTTTGACAATCCAAAAACCGAATTTTTTCCAGTTCGAGGAATGAAATCAGTTGATGTCAGTCTCTTTTTTTTTGTTTTCAGTTTGACTATCATGTACCAACCCTTATAATTAAGAACCAGTCTCGGTAAGATCCTCATATTAATTTTTGGTTACAAAATAATTTTTTGAAGGACCTCTTTCAATAAGTATGTCAAAAATATGAAAATACCGTAAAATTCCGAAAATAAGCCGCTCCATGTATAAGCCCCTCCAAATATAAGCTCCCCAATCTCGTTACGCAAAAAACCCTCCTTTAACTCGCCCCTCCAAATATAAGCCCCTAGGGGGCTTTTACTTGGAAATTGTCCTCAAATACAAAGTAAAAAAAAGCAAAAACGGTAAATTTTCTTCCAACTATAAGGCTAGCCCAATCGATTTTGAAACGCAAATTTCCCTTCGTAGATAAGCCCGTCCGCATATAAGCCCCTCAAAAAGGGCCTTTGAAAAATATAAGCCCCGGGGCTTATTTTCGGAATTTTTTGGCACAATTGGTTTTGCACAGCATATGGATCCGAAGAGCCAGTGCAAAATAGCGAAATTTGTTAAACTTTAACTGATTTCGCAGGACTAAAGAGTTCGTTTCAAGACTTGCAATCCCTTGCTGGTAGTTTACAATGATCCTTGATCATTGTAAAAACTCTTATTAAAAAATCCGTAAAATTATATAAGTTTGAATCAGTAACATTCTTTAGATTAACAAAACCAAAGGAAAAAACCTGACCCTCTAACCCACTCAAGAAAGTAAACGACCTTGGGCAATTTTAATGGATTGAATCTTAAAAGTGACTTACCTTTACAGGCCCAACTGCACATCATTGTAAAGTTCTATCCTTCAGCTTCTGAATCACGTTAAAACGTTTGGCGGGCATCAAGGTTCCGTCACGGTATGAGCGATGAAACTTGCACTACTCGGTTAAAAGGGCTAGGTTCCCATCCCGAGTGTCGCGAACGTTTGTCAGAAACCAAAGCCAGCAATCGAGTATATGCCACTCTAAAATTGGTACAGTACAAAAGAGTGAAAATTTCCAGACGCCATTTTACGGTGGCCATGATTTCAAAGCAACGAAGGAGAGAGACAAGTTGGTGAAGGTGTGACAAGTTCGCCTTTTGCCATATTTGTTGAGGGAATTTGGAAGAGAGTATCTGGGATGCCGGAATCTTGAATTGGAAAACATATCAAATTTCACCTTGTGTAGTTGATACCTGGGCCGAGTTGTTCAAAGCTGGATTAAGATAACCCAGGGTTAGTGCGAGATTTGAATTCAGATTTGGTCTACAAGTTGAAGATTGGAAGCTCTAAAAATACCGGAGAAATTATCCGAGAACATGCTTTTGAACACAAGAAAAAGAAACCCGGGTTACATTTAACCCCGGGATAAACGCTAATCGGCCTTCGAACAACCGGGCCAAGATGTTTAGATATGCCTTATCAATAGTCAGCGAAATAATTATGGAGGCTGTCGTCTATGGGAAAGTTTTAGCTTTTACAATATCTGTTGTAATTGTCGCTTATAAACTGTTTGATCACTGCGGATGCATGAATGCGGAATCGGATCTGATGTCAGCAACGACTCATTAATAATTTGTGTATGAATCTGTTGGATTTCTCTTGGCCTCGGTTGACTGAAAACTTTGCAATGGACTCGCCGAAATTGTTACATATTCTCACTACCCACGCAGCACACATGAATATACAATGAGATATGGAGGAGTGTAAATGTCCACAGGTGTGAACAGCAGTGCACCGCGTCATGCCTGCGAACTGGGAGGGTGGGTCGCTGATAGCCCTTAGACAAATGCACACAATAGGAAGAATGGTGGTAATAGATACAACACAAGGAATTGCGAGATATCTATTGTTATGAAAATATTCTTGCTTAATTTCTAATACTGAGAATAATTCAGGAGACGAAGTCGATGAGATTATTCAACCACATCAGTTAAGCCTGAGGTGAATAACTGTTTTAGAATAATTACTCAGGTGATTATCAGAGAGAAAAGGGAATTTCGGTTGATTTAAAGTGCAGTGTTTACGCATTCAACAGAGGAGCGGCTCGATCAACAGAGAAACAATGCGACTTAATTGCGAAGATTCTTATAAGAAACTGTGCTTTTAAGGACTTGAAACTGAAAAACAATCTATAATAGTCTCATAAAAACATAGGCTCTATTCGTTGTCGTTTGGTCTTTCCCTGTTGACAACGGTGCCATTTTCGATCATTTTCATTCATGTCAACAAACAGAAGAAATGCGGTGATAAACTCTCTTAGAATTGTGGTTTTTCGAGGTAGCTGCTCCTTTCCTGTGGAATAAGGTGCCAAGGTCCGCGCGCGAAGCAACGAACTTAGAATCTTTGAAGACTTTAATTAAGACATTTTTATTTAAGGAATCATTTCAGTTATCTTAGTTTATCTATATCTTTATTTGTAATTATCTTTTACTCATTTTATGTAAATATTTTTTATGATTTTTATAGAAAGATTTGTAAAATTTTTAGTTATTAATTACAGTTGTGATGCGCTTTTGAATATTTTGTAGAAAAGGCGCAATACAAGTAATAAATGTTATTGTTATTGTTATTGTTATCTATTTAGGAATCTATTTTGTTCAACAAGTTAAAAGAAAACTGAACTTTTTCTTGGCTTTAAGATTATTTTTTTGTTTTTTAACGCTCACACGCATCGGCGTTTTTATACCATTTAGACTAAAGTGTAGCCCTCTTATAGGTAAAGAGGAAAGTTGAGTTGTTCCTCTTTTCCGGCAAGCATAGTCCATAGACTAGGTTTTACAGCGCCTTTAGAACTCTGAATTGAAACACAACATGATCATGTTTTGTAGAGCCAAATTCAATGCATTGACATGTTTTGATCTTTGCATGATAATCAGCATTAATACATGATTTTGGCATAAGCACAACTTTTTTTTTGTATCTTTCTATTATTATTTAAAAAAACTGTCAGGGTAGCCCTCGAGCGTACAAGGGCAGTAGAAGTTAGAAGCTGTAAGGACCGAGGGTTTTCTCTTTGTTTCAAAGATTTTGCATCAGATCCTCTTCTTCTGAGTGGCTGTTCATGTTTGAAGAGATGTTTTGAATAAATTTCGTAGACCAGAGGTTGGTATGACCACAGGATATGACGAAATAGGTAAATGAACTCAACCTTCTTTTAGCGAAAGTGACTGAGTTATTGTTACACGTAAATGCCAAAAAAATTATTTAAAATATAACCGAAAGTTGCCAAATTGCTTGCACGTCTGGAGGTAAGGCCTGCTTCAATTATCACTTTCATTAGATTCGGCTAAGGTGAAGTATGACGTTTGAAGCGGTGCTTATAATACCAACCGATGTAATACAGTGAACCAAGAGAGGATAAAGGGTACAGAGAAGGCATCCCCCATATACACCCTATTCCAGAGGTAATTCGTCTCGAGTTATTTTTAGAATCGGGATAAAGTTACCTCGCGCGCTGCGTGGATGTTTCGCATGACTAAACGCAGGGCAAAACATGTCGGGCGAAGGGCAATGAAAGCGTAAAGAGATCGAGAGCATTTCTGAATATTGAAGCCAAATGAGTGGGCGTTCACCTGGGAAAAGGGAATCGCTGGACTGTTTGACAACCCGTGAAATCATTTTTACTCGAAGTTATCGTAACCTCAGTGCTTCATCAAAATGAGAAATTTCGCCGGTCTACTGAAGCCGGTCGTTTGCACAACAAAGCAAGTAGCAAGTAATATTCATGTACATGTAATTAGTTTTACAAATTTGAATTTTATTGTAGTTTTTTAAGTTGTTAAGCGCTGTTGATCAGTGAATGTAAATAGCGCTCTAGAAGTTATTAAATTGTCATTATTATTATTATAGGACGCCAAGTGTTATTTTTGTTGAATAATAAAAAACTAATGAAAGAAGAAATATCAAGCCAGAAATTGCTCTCTTCAAACTGTAAATTATATATGATCCTGAGAGAATATTCAGTGTGTTAAGGATTTCCCTGCTGTACTGTTAGCTCTATGCCAGAAAGGAAGGGCGATTCTTTTTTAATTTTCGTTTCGCTGACACAGCTTTAGCAGAAATCTCTCGTTTTCGTCGACAAAACGAATAGCAATACCGCTCTCCGCGTCTTCCGCCATTTTTTTTCTGCCTCAATTCGTGAAGGACGCGTGGCTCTGAGCGTGGGTTATCCACGCGGAACACATTCCCGCTATGTGATTGGCTGTTGTCCAATCCCCCTTGGTATCTGTGGTCTTAGAAATAACTCGAGACGAATTACCTATGGAATAGGGTGTGTGCGGAGGATGCCTTCTCTGTCCCCTTTATCCTCTCTTGAGTGAACCACATTATTTTCTTGTCAAGGTACTTTGAATAATCAACTACTTTTCCTTTTCGAAATATTTTGTCGAGTAGATGCTAAGGAATAAAGTGAAAATTGCTTGAAGAAAAAATAAATAGAATTTTAAAAAATATATCTGCTTTAGATATTAGTAAAACAAAATTCCAAGAACTGGAGTTGAGGAGCCTAGAAGGGTTTCAGTTTACACTCACGTGGCCAGCAACTAGCCAGCAGTTTCTTATTGCCTAATTTGGCATTGATTCCCATCATCCAAAAAGTATTTCAGATTCGATCTTTCAATAGTTAACTTCAGGTCACGGTATTTTAATGGTTAAAAACAGAAACATTACACATACAAGTTTTTCGTTTTAATCAGTAAGTATTTGTGACTTATAATATTCCTTCATTTGGAACGAACGCAACGTTTTCATTCACAACGCCTTGTCAATGAAAACTGGGGCTATTACTCGTCACTGTACAGTTTCCCAGCTCAGCTTTTTCTCATGGCGTTTTCAGGGTGCTGCACGCTGATTCTGGTAATTTCGTTGTTCATCGTGAAAATCACAGGTAATTCAATATTCTTAAACACACTCTCCAACTATTGATTTTATTCTGTTTTTAAGACTTGACATGGCCTTTGGAGTACGTTAAAAAAAGCTAATTATTTACGTAAAGTAACTATGACGGACAACTTGCAACTTGAACCTTAAGAAACATTAATAATCTGTGCCCCAAGACCAAGTGCGTTGTATTTGGCTAAAGCGTTCCTTACTCATTAATTCTAATCACTCAAATATTCAACATTTTCAACTTCCCAAAATTTGTGCCTTGAAAATGGAAAGTCTCTGGCTTCAAAAGAAGGAAATTCATGAAAGCATTGCAGAAATGAATGCGAAATCTTTGCCCAAACCTAGTTGCGGGCGACCCTTTTGTCCGGGATTATTTCCGAAATTATCGTCCTCAAGTTCAGAAAAGGAAAAATCTCGAAATATTTTAACTAGAGAGCGTTACATGATGTACAAATTAGGACATGTACATCATGGCAAACAACACGTGCATGAGAGTCTTCACAAATTCATTCACGAACCACCTGTTTTAACTGTATTTATCATAACATGTTAACATTTTCTCAAACGTCAAACTTTCCATGTGCCGGAAGTAGTGCATGAAAAAAACTTTTTGATCGACATTGGATAAAATTAGGTTTGACAAAATTCATCTTATTTGACGAGACCCAATGCTTAAGTTCGAGTGCGAGTTAAGTTATTAAATGTACAAAAAATTCAAGCGGTCTACATGGGAAGTTCAACTGTAGAGCGACTTCGTTTCAGACCGTCAAGCACTTCCTGTTCCGAATCTAATCCATAAGATATGTTAACTCTGTTTAAATGATTGGTTATTTTACGCAAAATTAAAAACGCACAGACGCACTACCACTGACGTGTACAGCGTTTTCAAAGTGGTATTAGCGGAGTGTTTAAGGGTCTGTTTACATGGAGTGGGGGACCCCGGTCTAGTGGGGTAAGTTTCTTTTGTTTTCAAGCTCTGGTGGACACAAAACAAAAGAAACTTACCCCACTAGACCGGGGTCCCCCACTCCATGTAAACAGGGTGTAAAACACCGCAAGCAGCCACGCGAACGTCACACGGGGGGTACTCAATTATATAAGCCATATAGGTATGTGCCGCCCCAAAGGGTATGATTTTGGGGCCTTTTTGGTCTGAAAAAGGGGTATACACTTTGCCCATTTTTTTCTGGAATCGGGTATGGTTTTCGAGGGAACTACGGGAGCGTATGAACGTAGTTATCGTTTCAACTCCAAATCAATAAGAACGAAATAGAAATATGCTAATTCGCAATACATTTGAAGAATTTTTTGTTTGCGTTCTAATCTAAGTAATGATGACATAATTTCTGCCAAAGGCCAGGTCTGAAAACGGGCATGGATCTTAGAGGTCTGGTCTGAAAACGGATGTGGAAAATGATGTTTTCTTGGTCTGAAATTGGGTCAGGATTTGGAGAACCGGGCGGCACACTTTCATCAAGAATTCCCAGGATTGCTCCCCCGGCACGTCAAAAAATCAACAGGGTCTACAATGTAAGCCCGAAATGGCAAATTCTATATAACGAAGCCCTCGGTAGAGCGAACGATATTATTCGTCCCAGAAAGGATAAAATATGGAAAGTTCCTCCAATAACGCCATACGTGTTGTCGTTATATGTCATTATACGTTATACGCATATTGTAATCAGTAAGCAAAAGAAACGGCCACTTTAAGGGAAAAGAACCTCGATATTACTTTAATTGATTGCGTATTCCTGAACTTAAATGTAATTGGCCAGTACACAATCAACATTCCTAAAATTGTTCAGGTGTTCACCCTTTTAAGGCGGAGTTCCAAAGAACCTTTCGAAAAGAATGAACAAGAGGTAATAATGTATCAAGTACACGTGGGCACTCCATTCTTTTCTTTTGAATGATTTTGAAATGAGGGCTTTAATTTCAGTTTCATCCACACTGTGTGTACCAGCTGGGAGACGACTTGAGGGCTTGTCGCGTCCAGCGTTGTTGCAAAAGGGCTTGAATTAAAAATGACAGCCGCAAAAAAGGAATCTATGAAGTTAATTTTATGCATTTCCTTTTGCAATTCTAAGCGAATATAAGCGTTGCTAGTGTACTCACCTGTACTGTTATTCTCGGCAAAGTAATTGTTGTGTGAGGCAGAAGAAACAGCAAATATATTAACTCATTTTACTAAATTCTTTTTCCGTAAATTGCTCAGCTTCAGGTGCTCAGGAAACTCAGCGTAAAAGGGTTTTTGTGTCTCGTTTCGGACGTGATGCTAACAACTGTGGCACTGAGGTACTTCCTTGTCAGACCATCGCTCAAGCTGTTCGCCAGGTGACCTGGAGTGGAGAGATATACCTCAATGGGAGTGGCACCGAGAATTTCCCTTACAGTTGCAGTCGTCCTAACGAACATCTTGGGATTTGCATCAAGAAAAGTTTGAATATCACAGGGTTCTTGTCGCCCCACGTTTTTTGTCCCGCGGGATTTTATTTCCAAAAGAAAAATGGCAAGAAGCAGATTCAGGTGAAATTATCAGGGATTGTTTTCACGCAAACATCTCTGACAATTGAAGATTGTGAGTACGTAGCACTTGCCAACTGTACTTTTGGTGGCGCTTCAGAGGTTTTGCGTGTTTATTTGCAGAAAATTACTACATTTCAGTTGGATATCACTGGACACTCGTTTTTTCACAACAATTCGTTATGCCTAATGCTACTTTTTCTCAGAAATATCAGAAACAAAAGTCGTTTTGTGGCAGTCAATATAAGTGATACGTATTTTACTATGAATGGATATGGGCGAGCTCATATAGGAGGGCTGAAGATGGTATCAAAGGGAAAGAAAGCTTCACAAATTATAGAGTATATGAATATCTCTTGTAACAACGTTGAGTATGTCAACAACTTTGGATCCTTTTTACACCTTGAAGTTCCAAACGTGCTGACAAAAGAGACATACGAAGATCTGAATTTCGATTCCAATAACTTACAACCGGCAGGGAACAACCTTTACTTTTCAAATGTGAAAGAGACCAATGCAATTTTCAAAGGCTTACGATGCGCACGCAATCCGTCTTCGTGTTGTATCAGAATCCAGTCTAACATTGCAGCAGTTGATATCCAAGGTTCTATTTTCGACGACATTTTTCAAGCTTTGCATCTTGACTCTAAAATAACTGCATCCTTACGAATTTTGAGTTCAGTGATTAAAAACAACAGCGTAGGTGCTGACTGTGCATTGTTTAATAAAAGCCCGCAAGGAGTTCTCAAAATCAACATTACCAAAACGTTATTCAGTAACTGTCGAGCCAAGAACTATGAAAGCGCGATATTGATAGGGCGTCGGAAAATTAACGATCAGAATAATTCAGGCCCAGATAAATTACATTTCACTCTCAGAAATGTTTCTGTGAGAGAGTGGGTCGGGGAATTGTCCAACTCTTCAACGATAAATGTCATTCTTAAAAGTGGAAATGTCACAATAGAAGAGTCTAACTTTTCTAACACGAGGTTAGCATCACCCAACAACGCTGTTCTCGTCCTGACGCTAGGGGGGGAATCTAACATCACAGTTTTAAATTGCTCGGTCATTGTCATAGATTTCAGTGGTATGACCAGTGAAGCGACAGCCTTCCAAATGATCGCATCAAAAGGAAACGCAGGAAATGTAACAATATCAAACAGCTTGTTCAGAAACATTGGCAACCTACAGAGGGCCTTGTTGGTAAGTCCCAGATACCGCATGAGATTGATAAATATAACAGTGATATCATTCTTCTATGGATTCCAGGTCGCCCAAAAGTTTCGCGGACATTTCAAGTCTCCGATTGATATCTACATCGATAAATGCACTTTCATAAACAACATCTATGATCTGAGGTTGACTCTGTATGATCCAACCTCAGTTCGCGTAACGATTCAGAATTCACTTTTTACCAGTAATGAAACCCTTTTTGGAACAAGTTACGTTATTCGCCTCTTCATCCGACTAAAAAATATCAAATCCACGAATGCAAGTGTAATGCTTGACAATGATACTTTCGACTCCAAATCATCGGTCGATTTTGCTCTTTTCTTTAAAGGGACGAAAAAAGTGACAATTAAGAGATGCACGTTTCGTAACTGCATTTATGCGTTTCCACGTGCACAGAGGTGGATCGTGGCAAAGACTGATGCGTTTTACGAGACAGGTTCTGGCGCAATTTCGATCTTGAACTATCCTGATACTCTGAAAAACAATGGATGTCTTCACTCACGCACTACTAAGGACACACATCCTATCTGGAATTACGAAAGTAATGTGACGTTCGAGGATACTATATTTGAGCAAAATATGGGACTGATTACTGGCGGAGTCCACGTAAGTAACGGATTAACTACATTCAAGAGATGTGTTTTTAAAAATAATTTTGGCATTCAACAGGGTGGACACATTTATTCCTCATCTGGAACTGGACGACTGGACATTGAAGATTGTTTATTCCTTAGAACAAAGACAATGTTCGACAGAATTAACGGTTCCAGATATCAAAAAGCAACCTTCTTGTATTCTGAGAGTGAAGGGCCTATAAATCTTAAGAACACATCCTTGATATCAGTGTTCCCTGCACGAAATGACTTTCGAATATTTGACATTTCCGGTGGCGGATACGTTCACATGGATGATAAAACCACCATGCAGTGCAACGAAGGAAGTAAGCTAGTATTGGAAAACGCTACACATTTTGAATACACACAGGAAAATGGCACATCTTGCACAAAAAACGTAACTGTCGTGAGGTACTCTTGTCTTTCATGTCCCGTGACTTATTACAGCCTCCAAAAAGGAACATCGCGAGGTTTATATGTTAACAATACCATTCCTTGTCTTCAATGTCCATTTGGTGCTAGATGCATTGAAAGAAATATAGCTGCAAAGCCAAATTTCTGGGGTTACCAAACAACTAAAGGACACCATCAGTTTCTGAATTTTTCTTCCTGCCCGGAACACTACTGTCAAAGTCCGACAGACGTTTCAAATGATTTTAACAATTGTCACGGGAATAGAAATGGTACTCTCTGTGGAAAATGCGCAGAAGGGTTCACAGAATCTCTATTTTCAAGGGAATGCTCTAAAGTTGCAAAATGCGGAAAATCTTGGATTTGGGTCGTGACAATACTTTTAACACTTGGATTGGTACTTTATCTTTTGATAAAACCGCCAATACTTGGCTTCCTTTGCTGCCAGATCCTTTGGTTCAGAAGAGATCGCCATCAAATAGGTCAAAATGAAGCCTCAGGCAGCGGGTTTATGAAAATAACATTTTATTTCTACCAAGTTGCAGAGATTTTGATGGACACATCGATAGAAAATCGGCTGAAAATGATACCGTTTCTTGCCTTTCTGATCTCTACCTTTAATTTTCATGTTACAAACATAAACAACAAAATCGGATGTCCTTTTGCAGGTCTTACAGTGGTAACTAAGGAGCTATTTCTATCTGGAACTGTTTTTTTGGCAGTGGCGAACGTCTTCATCGTGTATATTTTACATATGATCATCAACATGCTGCGACAAAAAGAAAAGCCAAGACTAATGCACTACGCAGCCGTTTTCATGGAAGTATTATTGCTTGGGTATGAACGACTGGCAGAAACGTCCCTGAAGCTATTGCATTGTGTCTCCATAGGATCTAGAAAATGGCTCTTTATCGACGGGAATGTTCCATGTTTGCAGTGGTGGCAATATATCCTGTTGGCTTATGTTGCTGTGTTTATATTGCCCTTTACCCTGATACTTTACTGGGGTTCTTCAAAGCTCTTCACATCGTCCATTAAGGCAAGTGAATTTCTCGCAGCTTGTGTCCTTCCACTGCCTTTTCTGATCTACTGGCTTTTCCAGAGCATTTGGCATAAAGGAGAACGACACGTGCCCGGGAGAGATCAGGATGTCAACAAAGATGTTTTGGAAATAATCCATGGGCCATTTCGCCCTCCAGACACTGACAACAAAGGGGCCCTCTACTGGGAAAGTGTTTTGATTGCGCGAAGGCTTATTCTTCTTGTAATTCATACCTTTATCACAGATGCATTGTTACGTGGGGTTTGCATCTCAGGCGCTTGTTTCCTGATAACAATTCACCACATTTTGAAGAACCCTTACAAAGATCAGTTGGCTAATAAATCAGAAACTTTGTCTCTCGTTGTTTTGACCCTGATTGCTGTAATCAATCTGCCAAAAGCAACCCTCTTTTCATTCGGTGTAGACATGAGCACCGATGCGTCAAACGGATTTTATGTGGAAATGGTCAAGTGGTTTGAGGTTGGCGCTTTAGCATTTATTCCAGCGTTAGTATTCCTGCTGGTCTCATTCGCATTGCTATCCCAGCTGGCAAGATTCGGAGTGTTCCTATTGAAGTATATTCGACTTTTTTGTCAGTATCGTCCCTCTGAGTTGATGACAGAAGCACACAGCCCCCTGATATAGCTACAGAGGATAGGAGGCAAAAAGAATTGTTACGTTTTAAGAAAAAATATTTCACAGATATATCCATACAGCTCCTTTTGAAGTCTGGATTGAAACGCAGATTATGTCTTATAGAACCAAATGAAATTCATTGACATGTTTTGATCTTTGCAAGACCAAAACTGGAGGCAAATTATCGATTTTCCTTTCATGACTTTTAACAAACGTCAGTATATTGAATTTATCGTTGTTTAAGCATGGCAATAGCTTGTCAGCTGATAACTATAATATACCAGGCAATAAAAAAGAATACAATATATCATATCATAATTTTTTCTAAGATATGCAGTTTTAATTATAAGCCTTTTAGTCTAAGAAAACAGCCGACATTTGGCGAAGCTACCACTGATTTTCCCGCCAAATGAAGTCTGGGAAAAGAGCGCAGAAATTCCATACTGAGGACGCGTCACTACCCAGATATGGGTAGTGCTTCTGATTGGTCGTGCCGCGTGGGAAATTTGATGAAACCAATCGGAAGCACAACCCAGATCTGGGTAGTGACGCGCCATCAGTATGGAATTTCTGCGCTCTTTTCTCAGATTTCATTTGGCGGGAAAATCAGTGGTAGCTTCGCCAAATGTCGGCTGTTTTCTAAGGCTATAAGCCTTTAGTAAAATTCAACTAGTGGTCTGTTATCAATGCTGCGTTCTGATTGGTTGAGCTACAACTATAGGCTATATGTTATAGCCCACTAGTAGCGAAAAGCGCCGGCTTTGAAAACCAAAACAGTGGGGGCTGAATCGCGTTTTTCTAGCTATAGTTGTTGTAGTTGTTGTTATAGTTGTCTCGATATTTTTGACCAACTAGTTAGATTTTACTTAAACAATTATTCCTCTGGCCCTCATGGCCTCTGAGTCAATAGCCCATTCAGCCTTCGGTCTCATAGGGCTATTGACTCAGAGCCCATTCGGGCTCGAGGAATAATTATTAATCATTATGGAGATATTTTTACTTAAATTAAATTACTCCTTCTTTTAGATTTTAGGTCGCATTGTATTTTCAAAAATAATATACTGTCAAATGGTTTTGTCAGATTTTTGCGTCATTTTATCTTATACATATATTCAAAGATAGCTTTTCATATCCAAGAATAAATGTAAACTTATTTCTTTAGCTTACCTTCCGATTCTTGATCGAATAATTTTTTTGCGACGCTGTTTTGCTTAGCCTACAAATAGTTTTGAGATGAAATAAATTTCAGATTAGTTAAATGAGATAAATGAAAAAGAAAGGCCAAAGGACTTTCAACAATGAAAACGTGCATAGAATAAAAATGCTCGGTTTATCCTCTGTACTCTCCATGGCTGCTGGACATCTTTCATCATCGGGGGAAAAGTTATTGACAGCTCGCCCGCTTCGAAAAGCTCCGCCTCATCTGAGACAAAATGTCTCACTTCTCTGAGTTTGTCTAGGCCTCAAAAACTTTCTCGGACCACGTGACCCGAAACTCATCGGCCGCGCATAATAATGAGGCCTAGGGACTAGGCAAGGAATTTGGAAGAGAGTATCTGGGATGCCGGAATCCGGAATTGGCAAACATATCAAATTTCACCTTGTGTAGTTGATACCTGGGCTAGTGCGAGATTTGAATTCAGATTTGGTCTACAAGTTGATGATTGGAAGCTCTAAAAATACCGGAGAAATTATCCGAGGACATGCTTTTGAACACAACAAAAAGAAACCCGGGTTAAATTTAACCCCGGGATAAGCGCTAATCGGCCTTCGAACAACCGGGTCCAGATGTTTAGATATGCCTTATCAATATTCAGCGAAATAATTATGGAGGCTGTCGTCTATAGGAAAGTTTTAGCTTTTACAATATCTGTTGTAATTGTCGCTTATAAACTGTCTGATCACTGCGGATGCATGAATGTGGAATCGGGTCTGATGTCAGCAACGACTGATTATTAATTTGTGTATGAATCTATTGGATTTCTCTTGATCTCGTTTGACTGAAAACTTTGCAACGGACTCGCCGAAATTGTTGCATATTCTCACTACCCACGCAGCACACATGAATATACAATGAGATATGGAGGAGTGTAAATGTCCACAGGTGTGAACAGCAGTGCACCGCGTCATGCCTGGGAACTGGGAGGGTGGGTCGCTGATAGCCCTTAGACAAATGCACACAATAGGAAGAATGGTGGTAATAGATACAACACAAGGAATTGCGAGATATCTATTGTTATGAAAATATTCTTGCTTTATTTCTAATACTGAGAATAGTTATAAGCTTTAACCTCTTAGTGATAAAACTGGGGATATCTTCTACCTGTTATACCGCTGCTTTGAAGACCTGTTACGTAAAGAAAATTACTTGTTCACCAATGAGTGGTTTTTTATGTAATGCCATTATTACACCACTGCATGCAGCTATATCGACTGAAAAAGAAATGCTGAAAAATCGTGGAAACGTTAATATTATTACCCAAAAAACATAACTTCGAATATTATAAGACTGAATAATTGCGGAGACGAAGTCGATGGGATCATTCAACCACATCAACTAAGCCTGAGGAGAATAACTGTTTTAGAATAGTTACTCAGGTGATAATCAGAGAGAAAAGGGAATTTCGGTTGATTTAAAGTGCAGTGTTTACGCATGAGAAGCGGCTCGATCAACGGAGAAGCAATGCGACTGAATTGTGAAGATCCTTATAAGAAACTGTGCTTTTAAGAACTTGAGACTGAAAAACAATCTATAATAGTCTCATAAGAACTTAGGCTTTAATTTACTAATCTATTCTTGTTGTTTGGTCTTTCCCTGTTGACAACGGTGCCATTTACATTCATGTCAACAAACAGAAGAAATGCGATAAACTCTCTTAGAATTGTTGTCTTTTTCGACGAAGAACTGGAGAAAGATTTATCATCTTTTTTACCTCTAGCTATGCTTTGATATTTTCTGTAGATTGGTTCTATTGAGGAACCAATTCTGCTCAGCAAGTTAAAAGAAAACTGAACTTTTGCTTGGCTTTAAGATTATATTTTTGTTGTTTAATGCTCACCGGCGTTTTTATACCATTTAGACTAAAGTGTAGAAGATATTTTAGTCATTAAACATTCCAGACTTTCAAATACAGGTATTACCTCGAAATAATTTATCCCGAAGTACGAGACGTCTTTAAGAGGTTTTCAAAATCAACTTTATTTTCCTCCGTTGTACTCGGTGATTTTCAGAGAGTCAAAAGAGATCGCTATAATCACCCAGCGCGGGGGCGACATAGCGACATACGAAGCAATCCTCGAACAATCAGGAAATCAGAGCGCGCGAAGTTCTATAATCGCCTGAGTAATTATACTAAAAAAGAGAATGTGCAGGCGCACTTAACAACTCAGCAACAATGAAACTGATGAAATCCTATATTGTCTACTAGAAAAGCCGAAAGCATTAAAAATTTTAAACATGCTCATGTGATGGGTGCTGTTTTTTAATGTTTAATTCTACCTGGCCTTTCGCACTCCTTATGCTCATACAATATATAAACGGGAGCATGTGCACAAGCTATACAAGGGCTCGGCTTATTGTTTACGGCTACATCCGTAAATTCGACAGAGGCACCCACGCCAATTTTTGGAAAATATCTGTTCGGAAGGCGATTTGAGATCTAAACTTTTCGGAACATTTGTTGTAAAATTTCTTACTTGCCTGCCTCTCCTAGGATTTTCGAACATCTAAAAAGAAATAATTGCCCTAAAAGGGTCACCTAGAATTTTCGGAAGCCTTTTTTCTGGCTGAAATTTTCGAAAAGGTAAGTTTTGATCCCTATAATTTTCGTATCACTAGACTTTCAGCTAGGAAATCCGAACAGATTAAAAATTTTTATCTATCGTTTAACTACTTAAATACGTTCAACAATGCTATGTTTAAGTGGTTTTGAACTATATTCTCGTTGGGTGCCCCTGATTCAATGCAAGGGCAAACGTGAAACCAGTGAAACCAAGACTATATATGAGTGTTTGGCTCTCCCATATCCGTTAGGAGGCTGTTTTCCTCGATTATCCATTCAGATGCTCGATACTGATAGGCAGTTCGAATATACTTGGATAAAAACACTCCAAATCTTGTCAACTGGGACAGGAATGCGAACGTGACCAACAGGGATACAAACGCTGGGATAAATGCCAAGGCGCCAACCTCAATCCATTTCACTGCCTCTAGATAAGCTGTATTTGGCGGATCCGTGTTCATATCAATGCCAAATGAAAAGAGGGCTTCTCCCGGTAGATTGATTGCGGAAATAAGGGTCAAAACAGCAAGTGATAGCGTTTCAGCTTTGTTAGCCATTGGATCTCGGTAAGGATTCATGAAAATGTGGTGAATTGTCATTATGAAACATGCGCTTGTCATGCAGACACCTCGTAACATTGGGTCAACTATAAAGGTGTGACAGGTAAGAAGAACAAGCCTTCGTCCAATCAGAACACTTACCCAGTAAATTGCTCCTTTGTTGACATCGCTTGGAGAACGAAATGGACCGTGGAGTACCTCCAGAACATCTTTATTGGCTTCCCGATTTCTGGTGAAATAGCTTGTGACTGTTCTCTTACGAATGTCCTGGAAAAACCAGTGAATCAGAAACGGCAATGGAAGCACGCAAGCGGCAAGAAATTCATTTGACTTAATGGAGGATTTATAAAGCTTCGAAGAACCCCAGTAGATAACCAAGGTAAAAGGCACCACAAACACTGCAATATAAACCAGCAGGATATACTGCCACCACTGTAGGCATGGGACGTTTCCGTCGATAAACAGCTGTTTTCCAGATCCAATGGAAACACAATGCATCAATTTCAGAGACATTTCTGCCAAACTCTCATACCCTAACAATAATATTTCCAATACAACGGCCATGTAGTGTGTAAACCTTGGCTTTTCCTTTTTCCTCAAGAAGTTGGTGCACACGTGGACACAATACACAACGAAAACGTTGGCCATTGTCAAGAAAACTGTTCCAGATAGGAAAACCTCTTTTGTTACAGCCGTAAGACCTGGAAAAGGGCAACCGATGTTGTCGTTGACGGTTGTCACTTGAAAGTTAAAAGCGGAAATCACGAAGTCAAGAAAGGGTATAAGTTTAAGCCGACTTTCCATGGATGTTCTCATCAGGAGCTCAGCAACTTGGTAAAAATAAAAAGTTATTTCGAGGAAACCGCTCTCCGAGTCCTCATGACTGTCACTTCTGACTTGATTCTCCTGTCTTCTATACCACAGGATTTGGTGTCCAAGAAAACTCAGAATGGGTGGTTTAATCAAAAGATAAAGCGCTAATCCTAGCGTATAGGTTATTGTCATAACCCAAAACCAGTAATGGTTACATTCTGTAGTCTTCGAGCATTCAGTTGAAAATAGAGATTCTGTGAATCCCTCAGCACACCTTCCACAAAGAGTACCATTTCGTCTTCCATAACAACGGTTGAAGTCTCTTGAATCAGGTAATGGACGTTGACAGTAATGTTCTGGACACGCAATAAATTGGAGGGGCTTTTGAGGATTGGACGTTTGGGAGCCCCAGAAATTTGGTTTTGCAGCTATATTCCGTTTAATACAGCTGGCACCGAAAGGACACTTAAGACAACTTACTGTAGAATTAAGAAGTAAACCTCGTGAAGTTCCTTTCTGAAGGCTGTAGTAACCTGAAGAGCATGACTGGCAAGAGTACCTCAGAACCGTATTATTTATTACGCAAGACCCGTCGCTTTTCTCCGTATATACAATATGTGTAGCATCTTCGAATAGAAGCTTACTGCCTATGCTGCACTGGATGGTGGTGTTTTGATCCATATAAAAGTAACCTCCACTTGAAATATCAAGCATCCGATAGCCATCCTTTGCAGGGACTACTGAAATCATGGATGTGTTCTTAAGATTTACAGGTCCTCCACTTTGAGAATACAGGAAGTTGGCCTTTATATAACTAGAACGATTAGGTCCTGGTATGCTTTCTACAGTCCTTGAGAATATACAGTCTTGCAAGTCCACTTGGCCAGTTCCATAAGCGGAATAGATGTGTCCGCTCTGTTGCAGAGCAAAATTGTCTTGAAAAACACATCTCTTAAATGTAGTATACCCATTACTTATGTGGATACCACCAACAATCAGGCCCAAGTTCTGTTCAAAGACAGTATCTTCGAATGTAATGTGACTTTCGTAATGCCACAAAGGATGGGTATCGCGAATAATGTTTGAGCGAAGGCATCCATTTCTTTTAGGTTTATCTGGTAAAGTTAAAATGGAAATGGCCCCAGAACCCGTCTCATAAAATTCATTTTCATCGTTTTCCGTTATGCTCCACTTCTGTACTTCGGGGTAGGCGTAAGTACAGTTACGAAATATACAGTGCCTTATATTCACGCTTTTTTCTCCTTTAAAGAACAGTACAAAGTTGCTCGCCGCCGCGGACTCAAAAGTGTCGTTGACTAGCTCTATAACTGCATTGGAACAAGTGACATTTTTTAGCGGCGGAATGTTAAGGCGAATCGCATAACTGTTCTGCAGGATTGTTTCATTACTGGTGAAAAGTGTGTTCTGAATGGTCACCTGAACGGAGGTTGGATTAAATAAGGTCAACAACATGTCGTGGGCGTTGTTCATAAAAGTGCACTTGTCGACGTAGATATCGATAGGAAATGTACTGTTTTTGGTATTGGATGAAAATACTTTAAATCCGTAGCGAAATGACATCATTGTTGAATTGATCAATTTTATGCGGTATTTGGCATTAAGAAACATGGCAGTCTGTTTCTTTTCGCTGCTTATGAAAAGGCTGTTTAAAATTGCTACAGTTCCTGCGTTTCCATTCCATGACGCTATTTTTAAGGCAATTCCCTTTCGTTTTGTTATGCTCTTGTCCACGAATGAGCAATTTGAAATTGTGATGTTCGATTTTCCTCCTGTCGTCATCACTTCTACAGCACCGTCAACGGATGTATGTATCTTTTTATTGAATCTTGAGTCTTCTATCATCACGGTTCCACCTTTGTGTAAAACATGTATCGCTGTGCATTTGGAACTTTTCCCATTCCACTTTTCCACTGTTACGTTTTTCAGGGTGAAGTATAATTCATCTGGAATCGACTCTTCTTTGTATCTTTGCCCTTTTCCCGTGCTTGGCTTTCCTATCGCCATTACGCAACCATATCTCGCCTTACAGTAACGGAAGATAACATTAGTAATGTTGATTGTCATATGTCCTCGACGACTTGTTGCAAGGAGAGAGCCGCCGAACCTTGCATTATTGTATATAAACGAGGAATTAAAAATTTTTAGGGACCCGTTTATTTTAGAGTCAAACCACAACGGCTGGAAAATTTTGTAGAACAACGAATGGTAAATTTTGACTTCTGCCTTGTTAGACTGGATTCTGATACACCGAGTAGAAGGATTGAAAAGGCATCGCAACCGAATGAATTGTACATTTAGTTGTTTTGCGTTTGAGAAGTACAAAGAGTACGGAGTGCGATAGTTTGAAACCAGTTCCACATGTGTATATATCTCTTTTGTACTAGCATTTGCGACGTAAATATCTACGAAAGATCCATTGCTGTGCACATACTTTACGTTGTTACAAGAGACATTTATTTGCTCTAAGAATGTACCGCTCCGCTCTTTTGATGCAAACCTCAGACCTCCCCTGTGAATACCGCGGTGCGGTCCACCATGAAATCCATTTCTTTCAAAACGCACATCGTTGATATTGACTGTAATTTGCCGTTCTCTGTTCATGACATTTTCGAGGAAAAGAAGATCGATGCATAGAGAATTGTTGTGGAAAAGGGAGTCTCCGGAGATATCTAGGTAGAAAGTTTTAAGGTTTTGCAACTGAACGTTTATAGCTACAGTAGCTTCGCGGAAAGTACAGTTAACAATTGTTATCTTTTGACAGTCTTGGAAAAATAGTGATGTTTGCCAGAAAATGATTTCTGAAAGTTTGACATGTATCTGCGGCTGATTATGTGCCTTCTGGAAGTAAAGTCCTCCGATGCAATTAACGTTTGGCGATAGAAACCCAGTAATGCTCAGACTTTTGTTAAGGTGAATGCCGGGAAGGCTGCAGTTGAAGGGTAAATTCTCGGACCCACTCCCATTGAGATAGATAACTCCTCCCCAGGTTACTTGACGTACAGCCTGAGCAATGGTTTGGCAGGGACGAACCTCAGCGCCACAGTTATTCGCGTCGCGTCCAAAAGGAGACACGAAAACTTTCCCAAAGTTAGTCTCTCCGACACCTAAAGATTGGCAATTGTCAAGAAAGACAATAGTCAGAAACAATAACAAGCATGAAATGATTACTCCACTGGCGTCGCACTCTATGATACGAGGGCAACTCAATTGTTTGTGCAGGGATGAATACAGGGCGCTTATAAAAGAACCGGAAGGTGAAATTCTTCTCACTGAAACCATTTGACAGCCAATCGTTTGCTCAGTTCCTCATTAGTTCTGAAAAACCCATTCAGGAGACACTGATAAATTGTACTGTATTGTATTGTTCAATATTTTCTAGTAAACGTCAACGTAGTTTTTTTTTTATCTGCGATTCAGTTTAAAGGTATTGTAAAAGAAAGAGAAAACTAAACAAAAGAACTAAACAATTCTCTTTTTCCTGTCGGTAAATTCATTGGGGTCCGGACCTAATGAATCCGCCGCTGTGTAAATAACCTCCTTCGGCATTAGTACAGGCAGAGAGCCTCTGAAAGCCAATTTCAGATGAACACTTGCCTACGGTGAACCGAGCTTATTTCGTGGTATTCCCCCCGAAAGACTTTCGTCCATTTAAAACACGTTTGCTTTGAGGTTATCTTTTCTGCTTCACTTATAGAAACATAGTATGACCAGAAACTAATAATGACACAATGATATTGCTAAAGTGATATCCACAGACGTTTGTACCCCCGCCCCCTCTTTCTTCTTAACCAATCATTCTGGTCTAACTTTTATTATAGGAAAACCTAAAACCGCTAAGGTCACAAAAGCGAACAAACGTGACTTTCAAGAGCAGAAAAACAAACCCGACCTTAAAAATAGCTCAAGCCGCAAAACCCTAAACTGCCCAATACCCATTCTTTTCGGTTTCTCGCAGCTGCAACGTTCTGCTGAATTAACTCGATCCAAAATTCGAAAGAGTTTCAGTATTAACTAGCGGTCCTTGTTTTGAAATCGAATCACGTTATCATCGCTTTTAACAGTTGTTTTTAGAGATGACGTGATTTCAAAAACGCCTAACAAGGGAAGCAGGAAATCTGACGAAAAAGATAAGTTCGAAACTAGCTAAGGTTGTGGATAATAGGGAATTCAAGTAAGACTAACTAACATACAATAGACTTAAAATACAGACTAGGAAAGAATGATAATGAATGAACAGCCGACACTCGCTAAATTTTCGATGTATTGATGTGTTTCGGTTCAACGGGCCACAGTTGGCGCTGTAAATGAGCCGAGAACAGTTTTCAATAAAGGCTTTGAAATAGTGTCAACTTCCTACTCTCTTAATTTTTTTTTCTTTTTAATTTCATACCAGACTCTACAACTGCAAACTCTGTTGTCTTCAACATAAAAAGGCTCAAATAGTGTACTGACTTTTTGAATGATGTATCTCTTTCCTCCCTGGCTCAGCTAATGTATTCATGGTTTCGTAGTAGTATTCAGTTTAAAAACATTAAGGGCCTGCTATAAAGTTAAGCGGTGACGTTGTTACGTTTTATGTAAGCCGCGTTCTAAGCAAGCCGTTTTCACTTTTGTCAACTAGGTTTCACCGATCGGTTGAACAACTAGTACATTGCTTGCTGTCAACGATAGCTAACAGTGAATGGAAATATATGAATTGGCTCAGATTTTGAACTGCGGACAAAGACGTGAAAGTGGACATTATGATTACTAACACTATCGAGAAGCCTTACAGCCCAGGATAGGAAACTATTTATATACCTACTTAAATTTAGCTACGCGTGGGGAAATTTATTTCGAGACAGTTTTTAAGTTTATCTTATTTTGTACGTGCTCAGGCGGTGTTGGACACGGTCCACGTGACCAATTTTGTCCAATCACATCATTGTAGATGGCGGACTGATTCTTTCACCTTTGCGCTTGTAGTCTCTTCGATTTTCTTCGATTTTCGCCGTTTATCAAGTGATTTACGATGATTTTTTTTGGAAAAGTTTGAGTAGACAGATGTAGCAAGCCGCAGCTCTTAAAACAATATAATGTATGTTTGTTTTCTATTGATATTGTTCGTTGTAATTCTTCATGCGCATAATCCCTTTGTTTAGTTAAGAGCTATTGTTTATGCTTTTCAATCTACATCTTCTCTGTGTTCAACGACCCCTGACCTCCATTTTTAGCATAATCTATTAGTTTTGTTGTTCAAGAATCTGAAATGGTCGAGCGGGCCCCGCCGTTTTACGGGTCAAAATGCCACTTGAAGTATACCTACGTGCGTGAATCGTGACTCCATTCCGCGGCATCTTTAGTATTATAAATATACTCCCGCGGTCACGATCGAACCAGCTTAGAATACTTTCACTACACGATCAGCTCAGAATACTTTCTTTCATTTCCTTTTTATTCGTCTTTAAAAATATGATATTTTTTTGTAATATATATGTCATCGTAGCGGCCCTTAGGCCCTCCGTTTTGAATAGTTCCTTGGCTTCTTCCTTCTGCCCTTGTCCGCAAAGAGTTAACCTTCTGTGCGAGATTCTTCATGATTCCTAATAAATCATACAAAACATAACGAACAGATAAAATTGAATTCATGCGGAAAAAAATGACTAGAAAACCTCCGCTAACTTGCTGTTGTCCTCAACAACAACAAGTTAGCGGAGGAGGATTCCACATCTGCCTTGGCCTCCAGCTTCTTCTGGAAAACCAGAATAGGTTACATATTATTTTCGATTGGAAGATCAGTATCCTTCATGCACATGTCAATGTACCTGGAAAAAAAAATCTGAGGTGAGAAGAGCGCTAAAGAGAAGCTTACGTTCAAAATCAAGCACTTTAGGCACATGTAAGAACGATGTGTTGATACGTACCGCGTTGCTTCGATCCCAAAATTATCTCTTCGACACAGAAAATAACAGTTTTGTGAAGCCAGCAGTAAACGTCGATCGCGGCCACCTTTCCACAGAAAGATCTCAAATGAACATCGCATGTTATGTCCTTTAAAAGCGGAAGAAGAACTGTACATGATGCCCATATCACACTATTTCTCCCGGTATTTTTAGGGCGTAACGAGAGATGTGAACAAAGCGAAGGTCAGATGCAAATGAGCCGTTTTTGATTTTTTCCCCATGATGCCCTTCGGACCGTGTCCAACACCGCCTGGTACGTGCTGTTGCATTTCCTGTTGTCGTTTTAACATTTACTTCCCGGTGAAGAGAAGCCTCAGCCGGAAGTAAGCCAACTTTGTCTTCACCTTTTGGAAATAATTTTTTTTGAAAAAGTGACGTTGCCTCCTAAACAACAACAACTTTTATTATTCTTTGTAGAAAAATACAAAAAGTTGGACAGTTTGCCCCGCAAATAACTGGAAAGCTAGTCGCGGCGGGGCAAGACAAGTACATGAAAAACACAATTTTCTAATAAAAACAAAAACCTTAAACTATTAGAAAGCCTCGCAGATTGCAACTAAAAAATAAATAAAACACAGAAGTTAAGTGATCTCATTAACTGGTGACAATTCTCCCGTTCCGCGTGTCGGCCATGTTGATTCTTTAACGGGTCGTCGGAAACTTTCTGTAGTTTCTTCTTTAATTCTTCAATTTCATTTCGCAAAGCTTGATTTACCTTTCGTAGCTTGTCGTTACCGGTCATGCTGAATGTTTTTCAGAATTTGTAGGTTCAAGTTAAGAGAAGAATTCGTGAATTAAGATCGGAGCACACAAAACACGTCCACGGCAGCTCAAGCAAACCTGAGCTTCTTTTAGAACCCTTTAACGCTTTTCGATGCTTTACTTTCAGACCTGTTCATTAACTACAAAACTGAACTAAGTACTAGTTGCTGTTCATTACAGTCTGATGATGCTCCAAGCGTGAAAAAGTATTGACGAATTGTTGTAATT